TTGAAGATGATTCAGACAAGCAGATTGAAAATTGCTGTGTCCACTAAAACACGTTGATCACCATTCTACCCACTCCAAAGCTATATACTCAAAGGTGTTATGTGGTATATTAACTGCTGACAAGTTGCCTTTCAGCTTGTCTTTGTATCTTAGCCATGGGCGTCCTACATTCCTGTAGCCCTGATCTAACTGGCTGTACATTAGGATCTTGGGTATCCTGTCATCAGACATTCTCAAGACATGACCACTCCACCGTAACTGAGACTGTATGATAAAAGTCTCAATTCCTCCAATATTACACCTGTTAAACAAGTCTGTGTTAGATGTCCTATCTTGAAGCTTAACTCCGCAGATTGTACGCAATAATTGTTTATTGAAAACATCTAGCTGGCGTATATGGTACCTGTATGGAGTCCATGACTCTGAGCCATAGAAAAGGATGGCAAATACAACAGCTCTGTAAACCCGAATTTTCATATCCAGTCGAATAGCCTGCTCAGTTTGTCGAAAGCACTGGTAGCAATACGATGCATGATTTCATCATCTAAAATTCCACTGTAATTGACTTTGCTACCAAGAGAGGTGAAAGACTTTACATAGTCCAGGGGTTTGTCTTCTACTCTCAATGGTCTCTCTGGAAATTTGTAGACTGATGGTTTTTGTTTCTCACCACGCAATTGCTTCGGAGTAGGACAAGGTTGGTGCACTACTTCAGTTTTCTTTATGCTAAGTGTAAGACCAAATGCTTTACATGTAGCAGAGTATGTAAAATAGATAGGTTAGTTAATAAAACAAGGACAAATGAAAGGGTGAAAGAGTACCGATATAATCAGTACAAAAAACATTTATTAAATATTAATTATTAACCATATGACACTAATATTTCATAAATGTTTTTTGTACTGATTATATTGGTTTTTTGTTTTGTCCTTGTTTTATTAACTAACCTATCTATTTTACATACTATAAGAAGCACACAACCCTTTTTTTCTAATTATATATATATATATATATATAAAAATATGATTCCATCACATAAAAGTTCTCATGTTTCAAAACAAGAGCCGAAAACTTCAATATAATTATTTGAATTAAATTGAATTAAAGTACCAAGCTCTGTTCCATCTTCAAGCAAATTTTTTTAAATTTACCTAACGAGTTCTTTCCTATTTTCTATATATTTTCACACACACACACAATTATATATATATATATATATATATATATATATATATATATACACACACACACAAATGCTAATGTAAAGAGAACAAAATGAATATATGTTCATAACATTAATTTAAAAGAGAGCTCAATATAAAAAGTAAAGCAATGCTTATTTATCATAAGTTATTACATTTGGACATACAAGTTACCACTACAAAAATGCATATTTGTTTCGATGTCCAGTTCAGGCATCTCATCAGGTGGTGATCAAAGATAGATATAAAACAATTTTTTATGAAAAAAAAAATCGTTTTATATCTATCATTTTGTAGTGGTAACTTGTATGCCCAAATGTAATAAACTTATATATATATATATATATATATATATATATATATATATATATAACTTATATATATATATATATATAATGAGAGAGAGATAAATGAAAGTTAAAATAAAACTGTACAAGGAGTCATTCTAATAGAAAATATGAAGGTGAAATGTTATTATTCATAAAAATTACAAGAAATATATGAAATTAGATCCCTTCAAAATGTGTGTGATAATGGCTCTTCACAACTTCCTAAACTTTGTAACTCTAAGCAATGTCTCCTTACTATCATTACTTCCAACTCCTGTTCTGCTATCCACTTAAGTTTGTTACATAGGTCACTCAATGATTCCCTCTGTTCCTCTAGCCTTCAATATATCCTGTGAGTATCATATTCTCCAAGCCTTCTTTACGAGCCCTTTGATTTGTTTTTTACGGCTTAACGACCTTTTGCAGATTATTTAAAACCAGAAAATATTTTCTGAGGTTGTAAGAATTTGGGGGAGATAATAATGATTTATTGATACAAATTTTACTAATTAACCCATAGTTGAGGGGAAGAAGAGTTGGATTTATACCTTTCCCAAGAATATTTGCAAATAAGTGAATATAATGAACCTGATTGGAATGGGAACTCAGTTTCTGGTTTCTAATTCTGAGAATTTATCCGTTACACCACCTGCACATCCAAGCTTACAGCACCTGGTATTTTCCAGTGGTCATATAGGTACTGATCTGGCTCAGTTTTGCTTAACTTCAGTGATTGTACAAGAACTGGTGTTTCAATGTGATATGGCCGTAAGCTTTATGTGCCGAAGAAATTTCAATTGTCCCGTTTGAGTTCTAAATGTGTCCTTTTTGTTTTCATTTTCCTTAAAACTTCTTCAGTGTCCACATCCTTTGTCTACAGCATTCTCAGTATCCTTCAGTAGAACAATATATTTTTTCTCAATAAAAGAAGAGGAATCAAGAAGACAGTAGATAACAATTGACATTACATTTAAATTTTTGAAGATCAAAGTTGACTGGAAAGCAAGAAGCCGAAAGAGAGTTCCACAAGAAGCAAAAAGTGCAAGAAAACTTTTAATGAAAGGTGCTCAACAGAAAACTGTTAGCATAGAATATATGGTTATATCTAGTCTTTTTAACTGTCTGTAAGATGATGAGAGCTTACCACCAATCTAGTGCTGTGGTTAAATTCATAAAGTCTAGATACCATACAGGAAATTTTCATCAGAATAGTTACCATGAATATATTTATAGGAAAGGTGCAAGTAGTTACATTATGGTGGTGGGAAAGTGATTTAAGCTGAGATGCCAGGTCAGGACCAATAACACTGCAGATTCATCTTTGTATTTTATCAAGAATCTAAGATATATAGCAAAACATCAACCTAAATCTGACATTGATGATTGGGAAACTAAAATGTGTTTGGTTTGGTTGTTTTATGACATATCAGTGTCAATGGGTTATTGAATGCTGGTAAGATTTTTCCAAAAATGTATTGCTGCTAATATTTTCTTCCAAAATGTATTGCTGGTTAGATTTTTCTTCTTTCGAAATGTATCGCTGGTAATAATTTTCTCTCAAAAAATTTATTGCTGGTATTAAAATCTATTTTTTCTCTTTCATAATGTATTTACCACAGCTTGATGGTTAACCACCTGCCTATAGATAGGACCCTAACAGTTGCTACCACCTGGGAACACCATCAATTAAGAATAGGTTCTACACTTCTCCTGATCAAAGACCTTCCTGTTGAACGCGGTTTATCATCTTACCCAGGACACTTAAATGTGTAAGATAGATTCTGGAGAGAAAAATTGTCTCGCACGACACAGTCAACCAACATTCCTTGAAGCAGACCTAGAAATTGATTCAATATAATCATCACTCCACTTCCTGACAGCGGAAAATGTTTAACTCGAGAATTTACAAAGAAAAAAGATTACTTCCACCCAAACAGCTTCTTCGCATAAACCACTACTCTGTGGAACCAACTCCCAAGAGGATGTTCCCCCGCCCTCGATCACTAGAAACAATCTTCTTAACCTGTCCAAGTCTAGAATAGATTTAACAGCTATCTTCTCCTCATATAAACAACCCCCTTAACACTCTGCCTCGAGTGGCTCTCGGGTCGTCTGCAGAGTGAAGCGTATTGTAAAAAAAAAAAAGGAAAAAAAAAAAAAAGAGTCAAACAAAATGTTAAGTTTAGCGTTACTAACGAAGTTTGGATACATAACGAGTTACCGCCCTTACTTCTTTAACTCTAACTCATATTCTTGACTATGGTTGAAAGATCACCCAAAGAACTAATAAACAAAAAACAAAAAAAGATGTTTATATTATATTAAAAAATAATGCAATATTATTTAAAAGTATTTTTTGTTTGTATGAAAAAAAGTGAAATTTATCAATTAAAAATAATTGAAATTACATTTTTGGGGATTTATTTATCGTTTTTTATCTTTAAGGAGGTAACAGAATACGAGGCTGGTTAAAAACGAGTGAAAGTAGTCTGTGTGTAACTGTAAACTAAAGTAAATCAATGGCTGTACAGAAAAAGTTTGAAATGCTAAAGTTAACAATACCTAATACATCCGTGAATTTGTTATTTGGGTTAATTATTGATTTTTATCAGACATGAAAAAGAAGAAAAAAAAAAGCCGTGCAAAGGTCTGTCACCATAAGTGGTTCTGTTCACAGACATTTATCGATTTCTAAACATTTTTTCTTCTTAATAATGAAATCAAATCAAAACGAACTTTGAAGAGGAAAACGGTTCGTTTATTCTTTTATTTTAGCGAAGCTCAATCTATAAAAAAAAGCATTTGAATAAAAATAATATCGTTGTTTTATTGAGTTTTTGTATGTTACAGAACTTGATTTTTAGGTAGTGGACTGATTTACTTTCCTCAAAACAAAAAAAATGATTTAAATTTCCTCAAAGTCTTGTACTTTTAATTAATAAATCACTAACAAATGGCTTGCTTAATTTCTAGAATTTTCATAAAATTAGTTATGTTGGTCGGGTAATAAATAAATATAAAAAAAAAATTACGATGACTTACAAAAAGAAACAAAACATTTATAACAATTTCCATCATTTATGAATAGTTTCTGAAAGTTTCATTAAAATCCGATAATTATTTTTATTTTTGCAAGATTTTCCAAATTAATGACTGTCATTAAAAAAAAAAATAGGCTATTTGTTACTTCCGCTGATGCAAAACAATTTTTTTTTAATCAAAAAGTTTTAAGGTTCTACAAAGACGTAAAAAATGTTTTAAAATACTTATAAAATACTTTGTTCTTTTCTCTTAAATAGTAACATAAACAATTTGACAATGAAATTTTGGTTTCGTCAAATTTCGGGGTTTTTTTCATCATAAATAAAAACGTTTTTTTTTTTTTTTTTCAAATCGGTGAGATTTTTTTAAAAATATCACTCAACTGAATCATAAGTATACATATATATTTTAATATTTATTTACTTACCACTCCCAGGGGTTTTCTCAAGAAATAAGTGGAGGCATAAGAAATCCAACCAAGCAAAAAAGTCACAAATTGTCGCCATCGAAGAGGTGTCACCTCGCGAAACAACATTTTTTTTACTTTTCTTTTTCAGAAGGTTGCTTTATTTAAATAACAATATAAAAACATCCAATAAGGAAGCGTCAACTCAACATTAATACACGCATCTAAACGAAAAATAACGCTTATTTTCCGCTCTAATAACGAATTTAGGGACATAAATGAAATGCCAATAAATGTCGATTATTTGTTTTGAAAAACATAACAGTTTTTTTTACTGGGCGGAAGAGACATTTTTAAATCGTGTTGTGTAAACAAGTCGTTTTTTTTCTTCTTTTCCTGTTTAAAAGAAAATTAAATTGCTCCAGATTAAGATGTCATATCACAAAGTTACCAAAGACAAATAAAAGTTTACGAAAAAGAATAACGAAAAAAAAAAAAAAAGAAATTAAAAATATCCCTTTATCACGATGGACCACGTCGTTAACTTAAATATTCACCGGGACATTTTTTTAAATCAAGGGAGATAAGTAAGAGCTGTTTTTTCCTTTCAAGGGGACTTAACTCTAATTTAACCATGCAATCATGTGTGGATGTCATATACAGTGATATAAGGATAACCTCACTGTATGCCCAATACTTTCGGTCTTGTGCCACATCTAAGCTACGCTTGGAAAAATCTCTACAATGATAAGGATACAGAATTGTTTTGAGTAATGAATAAATAAAATGTTACGGAAATCCCCACTTTTGTTACCTTTTAATACCTCCAGGTACATTTGCCCCGCAAACAATGTCTGGAGGACTTATGTGAGCCCGGGTAAAATCAAGACACAAAAATCATGAAGTTTTTTTGTTTGTTTTTTTTTTTTTTGCAGTGAGGTTCAGCTTGTACACGACCCGACACCCACTTGAGGAAGAGGGTTACAAAGTAAGAGAAACAGATTTTATGTGGGGAATATAGATTGTATGATCAGGAAAACATCCTGTTGGGAGTTACTTCTCACTAGTAATGGAATGCGTAGGAAATTGTTGTAATTCGCTACAGTGTGCGTGTGTGGTGTTATGTTCACCATTATGTAGGGGTGTATACTACATATACTTATCTTTTGACTAGGAAAGGCGTGATTAAGGAAAGCAATAACAATTGAATTTATTAGTGTTTGGTGTACATGCATATAAGCTGAAGGTTTGATAGAGTTATGTCTCTTAGATTTGGAAATATTTGTACTTGAGCTCATAAAGTTTGGTTTCGTTTCCTTTACGGCATATCAACCGCTATGGTTTATTTAATGCCCACAAAAGTTTTATTGCTAGTAATATTTTTGCTTCAAAATGTATTGCAGGTAATATATTTTTCCAAAAATGTATGCTGGTAATTTTTTTTTTTTTTCAGAAATGTATTGCTGGAAATATTTTTCAGAAATGTATTGCTGGTAATACGAAGGGAATTAGGGAGCTTCATTACAATATGTGCAGCACGGCGGTTCTTAGATGCGAAGGTTAGAAATAGTGAAACTAAGCAGTGTAGTTCATTTGAACACTCCCCACCGAAAATAGCGATAGAACAATGAGAGGTTTGCAACGCCTCGTCTCTTAGAAAGAGGTTGTAGGTTCGTCACCTTTTGGACTCTATCTAGACTTGAAAGTGGGCAGTTCCAGCAGTACTCCGTTTTCGACCTGATCTGGCTCTTGGGAGGCACTTGCTGGAGTAGTGCAGGGAACCGACAATTTTTCCAACATCCGTAGCAATGGATTGTTTGTACGAGTTCCACTTGAGGTTTGGGTTGAGTTTGAATCCAGTAGTCGTTCAAGGTACTGGGCCTCCCTGAAGGAACATCCATTCATCGTGATTGGGGATAGCTCAAGGCCTGATCAACGATGATGTAATGTAACTAGTTTCAAACAAAGAAGAATCAATGCAGGTAGTAAAACAGGAAGATGATATCATTGTGTACGCCAGAAGATGCAGTTCGTCCAAACACATTAAATGGTAATAGCGATAGAGCAGTTAGAGACTTACCACATCCCACCTGTGAGAGAAAGCTTGGTGTGTGGAAAATAATTTTTCTCCAACAAGGACTCGGAAACTCTATTGAACTCTGTCAAAACTGTAAAGTGAGGACTGGGTAGCTCCCGCCCAAAATATGGCAAACGTACTCCATTTTCGGTATGATCTGGCTCTTATAAAGGTAGCGGATGCCATAAAGAGTCAGATATTTACTGGAGCGGTACAGGGAGCCGATCATTTTACCTGCCTTTTTAGCGATGGATCGTACATAGGAATTCCACTTGAGGTCAGGTGCGTGTTTGAGACCCAATATCCTCTCAAGGCACGGTGTCTCCTGGAGGGGACATCGGTTCATCATGATTAGCGGTAGTTCGGGATCTGATCGGCGGTGATGGGATGTAACCAATTTGGTCCACAAGATCTTTTTATCGTTATCGATCACCTTCTCTGGCTGGTGGCGGTACCGTTTCACATCGATTTCAAGTTCATACTTCCTACATGGGCTTGCTCAACGAATACTTGGTTGTTAATTCCATTGCCGTAGGGGAACCCTCTACCTTGGCCGTTGACTTCAATCTAGGAAGCCCTTCTGTCAAGTCACACCACACTGGCCGCATGCATAGCTATGGAGCCCAATTCACCCCATCGTGCTGAATAGACAAATCAATGAAGTGGACGGAAAACCTTATTGGTGAACCGAATTCAACATCCAACGTACTCTGTTGCGTTCATTTTCGCACCATTTCTATTTGAAAAAAGTACGAATACATTTCCCCTAAGCTATGGGTTAAATAACAATGACAAAGAATCCGTATATGCAACGCATTCATTTCATGCCTCGGATTTTTTCCAGGATAAATAATGTTTATGCAATAAAAATGTTGGGTAATCCCCCCCCCCGCACAGTTTCTAATAAAAATTTCCCGAATAGTTACATTTAGGTGTAACTGTACATGCTTAATTCTAAAATAACAATGTAATTTTGCTAAAATCTACCGTTTTGGAGTTATCGACAATAAAAGTTCGGACTCATTCGCGTCGCGGCTACAGCACGGCAGCCATTACAGGCGTTGTTTACATGCGTTTGCCTCGAATAGTGATGCGGCACCGAAGCTTCACTTCTCTTGATTAATGCGCACGGATTCTTTGCCACTGTTATTTAACCCATAGCTTAGGGGAAATGTATTCGTACTTTTTATTTTTCTTTTATTCGTTCGTTTCTATTTTATTAGAAAGTGGGATTTGATTTTGAAGAAGAAAAAGTCGCAAGGGGCAAGACCTGTGGGGTACGGTGGTTATCGGACCTGGGGAATGTTGTCTTGGCCCAAAACTGCTTCACAAGCTATGGTCACTGATAGAACGCTTGTGGTGTGGTGAGACGACCACACTCTACACACTTTATTTCCAAGCACTGCTATAAACAGATGAAGTAAGCGAGACCATTTTAATTTAGTGCGCATGCGCAATAGAGTTCAAGGTCAATCTATGCCAAGCGGCCCCAATCTAATACTTTAGCAGCAGTCTCGATTTTCTTTTTTCTATCGGACCTAGAATACCTTTATTGGAAGTTCACTTCTCAGCAGGCCAAAAGCTTGTTCTTCAGTTAGTGGACTGTTTGAGAGAGCTGACACTAATTCACATAAATTCACGTATTGAAGGCTCCCGTTTGAATAGCCCGTACCTTAAACAGATGTTCAGTTATGGAATTATTGAATATTTATTACAATAGCAACATCTGCATACTTGCTAGTTTTTCTCCCAAATGTTGATCAATGAAATGTATCCTTATTTATTGCTACTTACTTGAGAAACCTACTAGTATAAATGATCTCGTAAATTTCTATTGTCACCATAACATCAAAATAAAATCCAGAAAAAATTATCGGATTCTGTTTCATTCTTTTCATCAGAATCTATCATTATTGATAAGTCTATATTGATAAGTCTACCATTGATCAATGCTTTGAATATTGCTGTCACATCTGGTCTGGTGCTTCTGCTATATATTTAGAGATTCTTGATAAAATACAAAGAAAAATCTATCTTGCATATTTATAACTCTACCATTCGTCCTTGCTTTGAATATTGCTGCCACATCTGGTCTGGTGCTGCTGTTGCTGCTGCTTTGTATTTAGAGATTCTTGATAAAATCCAAAGAAGAATCTGCAATGTTCTTGGTCTTGATCTGGCATCTCGGCTCTAGTCAGTTTCCCACCGTCGTAATGTAGCTTCCCTGTGATTTTACTCTAAATACTTTCATGGTAATTATTCGGATGAAATATCCTCTATAGTACCTAGACTTTATGAATTTAAAGATATAACCCCCCCCCCCTTGCGTCTCAGTGGCTTTATTACCTTGCTTGGGGAGACATTTTTTTTATAAGCGTTTCACCCCAAGCAAGGCGGGAAGCCTCTAGCACGCAAGGGGTTACAGAGAGTTGGAGCGAGAGCAAATAGAAGTGACAGAAGAAAGGATGAATAGAAGGATAGGGGATAGATCAGGGCATCTGGAAACAGGAATAGGGGAGGTAGTTCCACAGGGGAGAGGTGCGAGACTTGAAGCTATTGGAGTAGAAGAGACGGCTACATTTAACAGTTTCGACACTGAAAAGGTGTGAGCGAGGTGCCAACCTAGTAGAACGCTTAAATTCATGAAGTCTCGGAACCAGCGAAAGCAGCTCATCGGAGTAATTACCATGAAAGTATTTGTAAAAAAGACAGAGGGAGGCGACGGAACGTCTGTGAGAGAGCGACTGCAGACGAGATGCCAGATCGGGGCCAATTATATTGCATATCCGTCTCTGGATCTTATCAAGAACCTTGAGATAAACAGAAGGGGCTCCAGACCATATATGGCAGCAATACTCCATGCAAGGGTGAATTGTTGATTTGTACATTTGAAGAATCGACTCGGGCGAGAAAAATATACCCAGCTTGCGTCTCAGTGGCTTTATTACCTTGCTTGGGGAGACATGATTAAAACAAAAACGTTTACCCAACTTCCGTTCTGTCGTGTCTCTTAAATTTTTCCTACACAAACCGGATGAGAGACCAGCTTCGACGTCAACACCGGCAAGCTGAGAGACGCGACATAAACCAGACTTCATGTCAACACCGACGGGCTAAGAGAGAAACAATAACGACAGCCGTCAGCAATGTCCATTTCGCTTCTAATTTCGACATTCCTTCTCCCTTAGCAATAGCAATAAGTAACTAATTTCGTATATATGCGAATAAATTTGATGTAATGGAATAACCAGTCACTCCCATGAATGATTACACGATAGGTAGTAAGTACCTATAAAGCCCACTGTCTCCGAGAGACTCGAGGAAACAGAGAGTGGGTGGAGATACTTACCTGCCCCAGGGCTCCGTCCCTGTGCTGGTGATATCACGGCTACGATTAGCTTAGATCGGCTCCGAACAGTTTGGACCAGCTATGACACGCCAAGAACAGCTATGACTAACTTACACCAGCTTGGACAAGCTATGACCAGCTAAGACCAGCTTAGACCAGCGGCCCGAGTGAAAACACTCGGGTCACCACGTTAAAAACTGACCTTGTGTCACAACTTAACTCAGTGGGGGTGTCAAGTAAATCTCTACTAACCTGCCTCAAGGCTCCGTCCCTGTGCTGGTGGTATCACGGCTACGACTAGCTTGGACCTGCTCTGACCAGTTTAGACCAGCTATGACAAACCGACCAGCTATGACTAGCTTAGACTAGCTCTGACCAGCTTGGACAAGCTATGACCAGCTAAGACCCGCGCCCGAGTGAAAACACTCGGATCTCCACGTTAAAAACTGACCTTGTGTCACAACCTGACTCAGTCTTCAAGTAAATATCCACAGGGAGGGAGGGAGGGAGGGAAAGAGAGAGAGGCGACGCAAGCACGTCTGACCTTCCAATTAGTGGCACTCACTACTAGATTGACCTGTGTGTATAACTGTACCGTCTTTCATATTGTACTTGTTGTGTACAATAAACCTTTCTTCTAGTATCCACTTGGTGTTATTTATTTATTCCCTTAGCACGGAATATAACAAAATTATACATTAAATTACCCATAATCAATGTATTCTTTTTACTTGAATTTACGTTTGTAGAGGAGGAGTAGAAGGTGGTGAAGAAGAATCATGATGATGCTGATGATGATGGTTACACATTTTCGTCTCCGCGGCAAAACTTATGTCCGAGGTCACAGCTGAAAGTTCAACGGCCACTCTCTGTGTGAAAGAGAATCTCTTCTTCCTCTCTATGCAATTTTTCTCTTTCTCTTTGTATATAAAATCCCTCTCTTCTTTTCACGGACATACAAACTTTTTATTTAAACTCTAACGCCTGAAAAGAGCAATCAACTCACACAAAATTTTCTTTCGTCGACCATCTTTAAATTACGAGAACTTCTAAAAGACAGACAAAACTGTCACTATTATTCTATGTATCTATCATTCTATGTATTAGGTTGGTGCAAAAATAATGACGTAATAATGTCGTTTTTGACGTAACGTCAAAAAACGACATTATTACGTCATTTATTTTTGCACCAACCTAATATTTGGTTATATTTCTGAGGTGAAGTATTGTAAACTATCTACACGATAAGGATTGTTAACCTCGTCTTTATTGCCTTATTCATTTCTGCTTTCTTCAGGTGATATATGTTTCGAACCCTTTATTTAGCTTAAGGGGTAGATTGTTCGAATTCCACGTGCCATGCCTTTTCTGGATATTGGACCCCTGGAGGAGGGGGTGCGATATGAAACCACAGCCCGAACGCTGCAGTATCTTAGATGATGAGTCGCTGTGTTAAGGAAGACCATCAGCAGACACGGTCTCGCAAAATGCTAAAAATATCTCTTTAAAAATGAGTTGAGATTTGCTACGAAAAAAAATTCAAAAGTCTAAAAATGCTAAGAGGTGTATTAGGACTAGTTTCGTAACACAAACGGAACTAAAAAGTAATTAGCTCAATTCTAAAACGAAATGAGACTAAATTACACAGTGTGTAGGGAACACGATCAAAAAGGTCAAAGTTCAAAGTGACCAGTTCTATTCCATTTTAGGGAGCGGCCAAAAGCGGCCGCGACATCGTTTCAGTTAATTCCCCTTAGTAACTCAACTCTCCAAATGTTCTTCATTGAACTCACAATTCTTTGGCTCAAGTCACCTGTTGGATTTTACCCACTGAGCCACATATCCCTTGATGAGGACAACAGTCCGAACTAATGTAAATAATCTTTGTATGCTAGTAATTTATTTTGAGACGGAAAAGTGTTACCGAATTTTGTTATGGGGAGTTAAAAAAGCGATTCTATGTACAGTGTAACCCGGATATAAGAGACCCGGATATAAGAGAAACCCGGATATAAGAGAGATTTTCTCTGGTCCCAAATTAGAGCCTGTGTTAATGTATACAAATAGACCAAACCCGGATATAAGAGACTTCTTCTCCGGTCCCGAGAACTCTCTTATATCCGGGTTACACTGTATAAATATTAACTTTGGCTTCCTTACAAGAGAAAGGATGGTAGAATATCTGAAGACTTACCAGAAGGCCAAAAAGACATAAAAACAAAATATCATGAAAAACATTTATTCAAATTCTTTTAATTCTGCAGAAGACAAATGACTTTGGTCCAGGGATATTTTTTATTCTGTTTATTCCTTAAAAATGAAAAAAAAAAATAGAAAATATTTCCTCAAAATTTCCATGTTTTTTAGGGGTTCTTTTCTGTTGATTTCTTCCGATTTTTTATTCTTTATCCACGTGTTTCAGGAATTTCTTTTCACCAGACTTTTGGTTATAGCATTTTTCATTCTAAAAGAAAATAAAAATATATATATTATTATATTGATGGATTGGTTTGATTTGTTTCTTTTACAGCTTATCAACCTTTTGCAGGTTATTTAAAGCCAGAAAATACTATTAGATTTTAAGAGATTTTTGGAGATAATGATTTTTACTGATACAAGGTCTACTAATTAACCCATAGCTGTAGGGATAAGCGATGGATTCATACCTTTCCCAAGATTGATTCATTCGTTTTCTACGGTTTATCAACCCTTTGCAGGTTATTTAAAGCCAGAAAATATTTTTAGATTCTAAGGATATATTTTGGCGATAATAATGCTTTACAAGTGTTACTAATTTCTTCTTTAAATTTCTTTTGCTTAATCAGTAGATTGATTCATTCATTCATTTTCTACGGTTTATCAACCCTTTGCAGGTTATTTAAAGCCAGAAAATATTTTTAGATTGTGAGATTTTTTTGGACATAATAATGGTTTAGTGATACAAGTCTTACTAATTAACCCATAGCTGGGGAGAGAAGAGGTGGATTTATACCTAATTAGAATTTCATAAACAACCAAGAAATTATAATATAGATATAAAGTGGGGGGATCAATTCTATTTTGCAATATAAATATAAACTGATCCCTCACTTTGTAGCTATTGTAGCTTCTATACTTTTATATTCCAGAGAATGTAAATAAATCTAAAAGACATGCCTGCGTTGCTAATCAGTATTTGATTGATTGATGATTGGTTCGTTTTTTTTACGGCTTATCAGCCCTTTACAGATTACTTAAAGCCAGGAAATATATTTCTAGAATTTCTTGTGGGGTGGGAATAATAATGATTTAGTGATATAATCCTTATTAATTAATCCATAGCGCTGCATTCCTTCTTTTCCCAGGGGTATTTGCGCGTAAGTGAATATAGCGAATATGACTGGAATTGAAACTTGGCTTACCGACTTCCAATTCCGTGCCGCTATCCATTCCACCACCCGCACATCCAAGCTTATAACATCTGGGTTTCCCAAACGATCACCCATCTTGGTTCTGGTCAGGCATAACTTTATCGATAGTGTGGGAACTGACGTTACAGCGTAATATGGTCGTAAGCCCTTTTATACAACCTGAACATTCAAGCTTACAGCACCTGGTATTCTCGCGTCCTGGGTATGACGATAAACTACATCCGGCAGCATCGGGAGGTTTCGAGGAGGATGGCACCACCTCTTAATTGCTGTTGTGCCCAGGTCCACCCTGACCCGGGGTGGTAGCACCTTTTAGGGTCCCAGCTATGGGTAAATAGTGAATCCCGTATATTTTTACAATAAAATGACCAACAATACATTTTTATCACAAAATGACAACCAACACTACATTTTTTATAGAAAAATTACAAACGATACATTTTATGATATACAATATATATAAATATATATATATATATATATTTGGATGGATAGATGTGAGTTTGTGACCCTGGGTTTCACGCTTTAGCGATCGTCAGACAAACTGATTAAAGTTTTAAAAAATTTGGGTTTATGTAGATTGCGTGTATTGGTGTTATTGTGGAAGTGGTGGGAGAAATTTCGTCGTTTTGTCATTCATCGTACTAACGCAAACATCGATGTATGCAGACACATATACATACTTGGTCGTCCGTCGGGACTCATACATATATAAACATATGTGGGCAGTTTCGGCTATGGCACATGTATGTATACGGGTGGTGTTATATCTATACATACGCATTTGTATGTCAAACTCACATCTATCCAACCAAATATGTTAGCTCTATCTCTGATATTGAGCGCTTTCTAATAAGTACCGCGCATATAATATATAAATAATTATACATATATATATTTATTTATATTTATATACACTTTTCACACACACACACACACACATATATATATATATATATATATATATATATATATATATATATATATATATATATATATATATATAAAGCATCCTTTACTCAAAATATAAAATTATGTAAAAATATGTTCAACTGAAGCCATATTTAGATTTCGGGATTAAATAACCTATCTAGGGTGATATGCCGCTAAACAAAATCAACAAATCTAGCGGTCACAGTCTCGACGTTGCTTAACTTCAGTGATGGAACGAGGGCGGGTGTTTCAATGTTATATTGCCATAAGCAATATTTTATTATAGTCAGCTACGATAATAATAAAAAAAGGACACATCTATAAAAACACGTTTTGAAATATTTTACAAAATACACTTAACAACCAGTCACCTGTAATTATTCTCAGTCAGTTATGTGCCATACGTGATACACGCTTAGGCGATCATGTATCTTTCGATACATGACTGACGAGGCAGATTTTTTCCCGCTGTAGTTTGCCACTTCTTTCTGCGGTAGACCAGTTGCCATCCAAGGCTATAGTCTGTTCTGCTATTTACCCATAGAAGTTGGGGTGGGGAGGGAAGAAGAGGATTCATACCTTTCCCAAGGGTATTAGCACGTAAGTGAATGTAATGGATTCGACTGGAATTCGAACTCAGCTCATCAGACACTTAACAACATACCATGGTGCCAAAATCTATCTTTCTCTGTGAATGAACAGAGGATCGATGCGCGTAAAAGAAAGACATAATTCGCTTTGAAATAGGCACCCTACCCTACCTCAGCTTGACTTCTCTCTCTGAAGGTGACTGATATTTGGATAAAAATGGTCGCCCCAGCCGTTTCCATAGTAACGAATGAACACGCTTATAACGATACGTAAATTTCAAAATTATTAATTCCTAAATTTTCGTTTGAGGATGAAACAGGGCTTGTTACTTTAATTCAATTTAATTTTAATAATTATATTGATGGTTTCGGCTCTCGTTTTTGAAACATGAGAACTCTTATGTAGCGAAGGAATCATATTTTTAAAAAATAATCATAATATATATATATATATATATATTCAAAATTATAACATGCATGTTATACATACATCATTGCAAAAATAGCCTTTTTGTTTCAACACTTCTGGTGCCTTATCAATTGATGTTGTTGATTGAAAAATAAAGAGTTTTAAGAGTTCAAAACCCCACCAAACCCCCTCAGTAGGGGCAACATTGTTACGTAACCTGAGTACCAATCCGATGATCAAATATATGATAATTCAAGATAGCGTGACAATATACCCTAAGTACAATCCATTAGTGCGTTTAAGATTAAATTAGAAATCAACGTAACTAATTAATTTACATTATTCGGACTATTGTCCTCATCTTTGTCGCCATATTTATTACAACGTTTCGGCTGTTGTACGCTCCGGCCTTCTTCAGGTGGTTGGAATGTTGAACTGAACCCTTTATTTTGCTCACTGGGGTAGACTGTTCTAGTTCCACGTGCTATGTTTAATGGATGTCAGTTATCAGTTATCTCCTGTTAATTTTCCCTCTGAAAGTTCTCCACCGCCTTAACCGGGTATTGAACTCACACTCACGGGTTATCCATTTCGTTTATAATTTTTATTTTGTGAACACCAAGACTTTCAACTCATCAGAACGAATCCTCCTCCGCAAATGGAGAAAGTACACCAGACGGACACATTAGATTGGTAGTGGGGAGGATAGCTGAGAGAGAAGGGATGGGTAAAGATAGGGCTAAGAGATTAGTGGTTAGTAGTAGTCGGTTTCCTGAGCCAAGAATGAACTCTATACTTTTTAGATTTTAATATTGGGTTGTATGTTACATTGCCCGATACCGTTTGCTGTTTTCATGCAGGATAAATCAGGTCTATTCAAATTAATTTCATTAAAGGGATCTTATTCTAAATAAAGTTGGGTTTTAATATAGTAATACTTAAAAACTTGATTTTAGGCCGAAGTCTGATAGACATTGAGCTGAGGGCAATGCAAGGAATGGAAGTGGAGTAGTGGATAGCGGCTTGGATTGAGGAATCGGAGAGCCGAGTTCGAATTCCACTCTAATCCATTACGTTCACTTACGTGCTAACACCCTTGTGAAAGGTGTGAATCCTCTTCTTCTCCCTCCAGTTATGGGTAAATAGCAGGACAGACTGGGTTCTATAGCCTTGGATGGCAACTAGTCTAGGAGAAGGAAAACTCTGAATTCAAACCTGCTCTTAAAAAATCCAAGGAGCGTCTGCATCGGCAACTACGAATGAGTCAACAGGAAGAAGCCGGCTCAATCCGCCCAGGGTGAATGCCGCATCAATACAATAAATAAATACAAGGAATGGAAGGCTTGGGGAAGAAGAGAGTGAGAAAGAAAAAGGCGGGGTAGCGGTGGTTTTAGCAGCCTAACCTGCGTAGATATTTATTAATTTTTGGAACTATGTAAATGGGTTTATACAGTGGGTTGATTGCTATGAAGTAGTCCCTAGTACAAGTAATAATTAGAAATCACAATAATATCGTCAGATACAATAGGCGGACACAGAAAATAACGGTAGAGAATTAAGAGGCGAATAGAAATTCAAAAACAATGCCAAACTTAAAGAAAAAAGAGTAAAAGAGTATGGAAATGCTATAAGATATGTTAGTTTGGAAACATGTGTAAGGTGTGCATCGGCAAGACAGTCTTATGTCACACCATGTGTGTAGAAGTTCGCAAAATGTAACCAATTCATGTAATATTTAATGTCACGTACCTGCTCTGTAGTCTACATTGAGCTCTCCCTGGATTTATATGCTCCTCGGAATTATCCCTTCCAGTCACAAACTGGTAAAACGTATATATATATATATATATATATATATTAAAGAAAAACAGACCACTTTAAGGCTCCATTGTAACAATTTATTTCACCAGAGACCTTTTAAAGGACGCTGGATTCCCAGACATTACTTTCAAAAAGTTGAACCGAAAAATTAAATGAAAATTTACACTTTTGACGGGTACTATTAAATTTATGTAATTTAACAGAGAGGGTAGCGAGGAGTCGTGTGAGAGATATGTAATTAATATTACGTATGTATATGCTTATAAAGCTCCGTAAATTTCAAGATTAGTTATTCCAAAATTCGCTTGAGGATGAAACAGAGCTGGTTTTTTAGTTTTTGTGTTTGAAACATGAGAACTCTTATCTAGCGATGCTATGATATATATATATATATATATATATATATATATATATATATATATATAAGTTACGAAAAATTTGGTAATCTGTATGGGTAGTCCCAAGGAGGATGAAACCCTGAGAGCTCAATGTAAATTCAGAGATAATAATTTAAAATAAAACTGACCACTTTAAGGCTCCATTGTAATAATTTATTTCACCAGAGACCTTTTAAAGGACGCTGGATTCCCAGACATTACTTCCAAATGTTGAAATGAAAAATGAAATGAAAATTTACACTTTTGACGGGTAGTATCAAGTTTATGTAATTTAAGAGAGAGGGTTGCGAGGAGTGGTGTGAGAGACATAGTCGAGTTTAAAGAGGGTTTATTTTAATATTTCTCTCAATCATACTTAGTATTGAGGAAGGAGGGATCAGACATTGACCTATTTAATCGGTTAACTCAACGGAAATAATATATTGAAAGGGAAGAAGAGAATAGAGAAAAAGAAAAAAGATAACACCTACAAACCCGTCCAAAAGGAAAACCAATCGCCCATATACATAAATATCAACTCAAACCACCCGAAAGCAATAATAAACCAAATTCCAAATACAGCAAATACAAGAATAAATAAACCGTCTTCTTGTAAAACAATCTTTAACCAAAACAAATCGACATATAATCAAGCCCTATTAAAAAGTAAATTTAAACAAACACTAAATTATATAGATAAATCAATTAACAACACATCTACTAAGTCCAAAAATAGGAAGAGGAATATTATATGGTTCAACCCGCCTTTTTGTAAACTATCTAGTATCAATATAGGGAAATACTTCCTAAAACTAATAGACAAACATTTTAGTAATAATGAACTATTGAAAAAGATGTTTAATAAAATGAATTTAAAAATTAGTTATTCATGCATGAACAATGTAGAAAAAATTATTAGCTCTCACAATAGCAGAATTATTAGAGAATTTCACAATAATCAACTACAAAGGGATCTTAATGCAAACCAAAAGGAAACATCTACCTGTAATTGTCCAGTAGAAGGAATATGCATGGTAGAAAGCGTGATATACGAAGCTACAATTTTCCCCAAGGAAGATATAAAACAGAAAAAGACTTATATAGGAATATCTGCGGGAAATTGGAAGCAACGTTTTTATAATCATCGCCAGTCCTTCACAAATGAATCTAAAAATACACCAAACAGCACTATCAAAACATTATTGGGATTTGTTGGGGAACGGCTTAACCCAACAAGTAAAATAGAAAATCGTCTCTAGGGCTCGAACTCCAATAAATTTCAGAGACCGATGTGACCTTTGTATAAAAGAGAAGACCCTAATGATAAAGCATAAAGATCCGGATATATTACTGGACCAACATAACGAGTTAATTTTTAAATGTAGACATAAAAACCATCTCAATCTAACTAAATATATTTAGAAATAACTATACAGAAAAAAATTGTGTTATTTTTAGATTTGGAAATGACTGTATGCACATATGGATGTGGATACATAATTGTATGTATACAAATGTGTAGATAGACTTGGACATTGACATGTGGTTTTATGTGTATATGTATATGCATTTGTATAAGGTTGTATATATACATATATATGTATATATGTATTGTAGGCGCATATGTAAAATATAGATATATGTATATGTGTATTCGTATGTTTAGGTAGGTATTTTTGTATATATATATCGTATCATGTATATAGGATTGCATGTGGGCTGTATATGTATATGTATATATATATATATATAAATGTAAGTATTTGTGAGTTCGTATATGTAATATGTGTGAATGTATGTTGGATATAGTAATATGAATACATATGCATATATAGGTATTTATAGGTATAGATTTGTTTTATATATATATATATATATATATATATATATATATAGAGAGAGAGAGAGAGAGTATTCTAATGGAAGGACATAAAATTCTTTTATTAATGTTTAATCTTATTTTCTCTTTAAATATTCTCTAATTAGAATTGTGAGATTGGAATTTTTTATCATCTGGAGGTAATTTCATGTTAAATTGATATTTTAATTTAAATTTAAACATATTACTCTTTAAATATCAATCTTGATAGTAAACGTATTAAAATTAGAAATATTGATTTTGATATTCAAACACTTAAGTCACCACCTAATGTTAAACATTAACTGTGAAATTTAAGGACAAATTTAAATAGATATAAATATAAATATCTGTAAATATTTGTAAATGTATGTGTAAGTATTTATATATGAATATGCATAGGTACCTGTGTATATCGATACATACGTGTGTGCCTAAGTGTGAAATTGCACATGTAAATGAACGTATGTATATGTGAGATTTACATAAGTGTATAAGTGGTATATATATGGAAAAACAAAACTTTTAATATGACCTTCAATTATTATTCCATCTTAACTTGAAATCTAAACTTTAAGAAAGATTACCCATCTAAAAATAGTTACAAATTACATTCATGAATTAGACTCAAACTGATAAAGATGTTACCTTAACAGTCATTTACAATATTAAAAGATTACTATCAGTAAATTTTTATTTTTTAAATATTTTTAATGTGTTTTTTTTATTAATGTGTTTTTAAATATAGTATTTAATTCATATTAAATCCCTAAATTAGAGTTAAATATTTAAATTAGAATAAAAAAAAATAGAGTTAAATATTTAAATTGCTAGCAAGCATCAAATTAATTTCTTCGTGGATTTTTTAAACATTTAAATTACTATCAAACGTTAAAATCTGTTTTTTTTTTACATAAATTGATAAAACTATACCACCCCTCCTCTTCCTCCGTAAATGCTAAATACATATTCTTTCTCTTTACTTCCTCATTTTTTTTCTTTTTCTCTATTCTCTCCTTCCCTTTCAGTCTATTATTTCCGTTAAGTTAACCGTTTAAATAGGCCAAGGTCTGGTCCCTCCTCCCCCACTACTAAGTATGATAGAAAGAAATATTAAAATAAACCCTCTCTAAACTCGACTATGTCTCTCACACCACTCCTCGCTACCCTCTCTGTTAAATTACATAAACTTAATACTACCCGTCAAAAGTGTAAATTTTCATTTCATTTTTCGTTTCAACTTTTTGGAAGTAATGTCTGGGAATCCAGCGTCCTTTAAAAGGTCTCTGGTGAAATAAATTATTACAATGGAGCCTTAAAGTGGTCAGTTTTTATTTTAAATTATTATCTCTGAATTTACATTGAGCTCTCAGGGTTTCATCCTCCTTGGGACTACCCATACAGATTACCAAATTTTTCGTAACTTATATATATATATATATATATATATATATATATATATTAGCATCGCTAGATAAGAGTTCTCATGTTTCAAACACAAAAGCTAAAAAAACAGCTCTGTTTCATCCCTAAGCGAATTTTGGAATAACTAATCTTGAAATTTACGGAGCTTTATAAGCATATACATTCGTAATATTAATTACATGGAAACGGTGAAAGCAATTATTGATATAATGGGTGTAAGGGTGAACATATTGTATCAAATACAATGAATATTATAATAATTGGGTTCACCGCTTCCATGTAATTAATATTACGAATGTATATGCTTATAAAGCTCCGTAAATTTCAAGATTAGTTATTCCAAAATTTGCTTGAGGATGAAACAGAGCTGTTTTTTTTGTTTTTGTTTTTTTGCTTTTGTTTTTGAAACATGAGAACTCTTATGTAGCGATAGAATCATATTTTTAAAAAATAGTTATAATTTATTTTTAAAAAATAGTTATAATTTAATTTAGTTTATAATTTATGTATGGAGTACTGTTTTTTAAAAATAAAAACAAAAATACTAAAGAACTTTGGATTATTTTTATTTTTCTATATTTTGCACACACACACAAATATATATATATATATATATATATATATATATATATATATATATATATCAACGTCTCTATGACGTCCAGCCAAAGAGGAAAGCTCATTAGAACAGTTATCAAGAAAATATTTGTAGAAAAGGAACAGGAAATCTTCGTTATAACAGTGGGAATATGAATGAAGCCGAGACGCCATGTCAGGACCGATATACACTGCAGACTCTTCTTTGGATTTTGTCAAAAATCTCTAGACACATACCAGAAGCTCCAGACTAGATGTGGCAGCAATATTCAATGCAAACTGTTTTTAGGTTTTAGCCACTAATTCTGTAATGCTATATTTCTTAGTCAAACAGATTAAAAACAAATAAACACCTACCTCTCGAAGTAGTTTCTTGGCTTCTTTATAATCTTCCTTGTAATCCTGTGGGTTGCTAAAAACTTCAGATAAAGGTATTTCTTTCACAGCAGTGTGCTGCTTCAGATCTTCAAGGGCAGTTGTTACCTTTTGTTTATAGGTCAACACTGGCATTTTGGGTGGTAGTGGCTGCTGTAATAAAAAATAAAGAAATATTAATTAAATCCAGAAGTATTCGAGGATATCCGTCTACTAGGGCGGCATGCCAATCCCTATTGCAGACGCTTGCTCAGGCGCATTTGTGTTTATTCAACACCCACAGGGACCACCTGTGGCTTATACCTCAACCATGCTGAGCAGACCTTAGTTATAGTTTCTGGGAAAGAGCGTGATCAACAATTTAAACAAGTCCAGCACGCTCAAGCCCTCAGCCACGATGAGTTGTGACTTCGTGCTAGCACAGCGATCGACGGCCGCAAGGGTTCTGTCTATTCAATTTCACGCACAAGGCTTGGGTCAACCCGTGGTATGGTTTTCAGGCACTTTCCAAAGGTGCCGCACGCTGTTCCACTCTGAAAAAATCAGGAAGTCTCCTTCCTGTCAAATCGACCATGGTGAGATTCGAACCCGGGTCTCATAGTCAGAATGCGAACGTTGTAACCACTTCGCTACATGCCGATAAATCCGGAAGTAAATCTATAACAAATAACTCAACTCTCCAAGTTTTTTTGTTCAACTCTGCTGTGGCCAGGAACTGAACTCACAACTCTTTAAGGGTCAAGTCACTGGATTACTTCAACCAACGACTTCATACACTGGTCCATGTGTCCTTGAGTGACTAAAAGGTAAATAATTGAAACTGAGATATCTAGAAAAGGCATGACACTTGAAACTTAACAATCTACCCCGGTGGACGAAATAAACTGTTTGGTTCAAAATTCCAACGTATAACACCTGAAAAAGACGAAGGCATAAACGGTCGAAACATCGTGAATATGGTAATAAAAATGAGGACAATAACACAAATTATGTAAATAGCGTAAATAGTTACAATACCTCATCTCAGAAATATAGACATATCCTGAAGATGGCTGCAGCGTACAACGGTCGAAATGTCATGAATACGATAAAGATGATGACAATAGCCCAAACTATGTAAATAGCGTAAATAGTTACAATACCTCATCTCAGAAATATAGACACATTCTGAAGATGGCCGCAGCGTACAACGGTCGAAACGTCGTGAATATCATAATAAAGAGGAGTACAATAGCCCAAACTATGTACATAGCGTAAATAGTTACAATGCCTCATGTCAGAAATATAGTCAAACAAATGTGTAGTATGAAATTCATGTCAGCAAATGTCAAACATCTAATTCGAATTCAACGTCAATCAGGCACCTTTCATCTAAGAGGAGTTGATCTGTGGTGACCCCCAATATATACGGAGTTTACTCTAAGAGATATCAAAGTAAGCTTTGTCTTCGATGTCACAATAGATCATCAAAAGAGCTAGGTGCATCAGAAATTCGAACTAGAAGGTATCCTCACACCCCACAAGTGCAAAACAAATTCACGCATTTAGACGAACAAAAAATGTTATTATATAACCCCCCCCCACACACACTATTACATCTCAATTTTCATAAGTTGGTATTCATATAAAATACACATTTTTATTGTACCCTAATTATGTACAATAATGGATCACATACAATATAGGTGAACAATCCAACTAGAAAAAATTGAAAATAAATCCAATGTATCTAAATACAAATTAGACATATAGATCTTAAATAAATCAACAATGTTTTGCGACAGTTTTTAACATTAACCGAAACGGTCCTTTGTGGCTAAACCGTTAAAGCACGTCAGGCTGTATGACGGTTCCGTATAGGATACAGGTTCGATTCCTGTCGGAGGACGCATATTTCCTATGAAAATTTCTCGGACATTCAGGCCGGTAAATGCCGTTAATACTGTTTATTATAAACAGAGCATTTACTTAAATATGGGCACCTCGGCGTGGTGTAATGGTTAGCACGCTTGTCTTGCTAGAACATATTACGACTGAGTAGTGAGTTTGATCCTCACTGGGTGCTCCATACTTCCGGCCTTGTGCCACATCTAAGCAGCGCTTATAAAATCATTATATATATATATGTTAAAGTATTTCATCAGTTCTAGAAGAATCTTCAACAGAATGCTTTTTGGGACTCATCAGCAGTACGCATCCATTAGCGAGAATCGAACTAGGACCCGTTACGATACGTCAAATTCTTTAATAGTGCTTAGTTGAATTTGTAACGTATATAAATGTTGGTAGAAAAAAAGCAAATGTTAGTAAGATAGCAAGGATCACAAAGCATTGTTCGTTACTCCTAATCAGGTCCCCCCGCCCCGGCCGGGTGGGGACATGTAGGTGAGTATGCACCTGCCTGCCCTGGTTTTACAACTCCCCCGAAAACTCAAATTAAACATTTTTTAAATTATGATTTCTCTTTAATTTTATAACAATGATATAGATTGTCGAATAAATGAAGTGATTCATTTTACATTGTCAATTGATTAAGAATACATACCTTGGGTGATGCCGGGCTGCGAACATTAATATTTTTTATATTAGCTGCCTGATCCCAAACAGTGCATTGATGATCCAATGCATAGCGTAAAGCGTTGACATTTTGCTGAATATCTAAAACGTGAAAAAGAAAAACGTTATTTTTTTCTTTATTAACTTCATTTGATCAAAGACAGACACTGTTAGATTTCACATATAAATTAAAAAAACAAAAACTTAGCATTTGTTACAAATATAACGTCTAAGTTGGCTACAATTTTAAATCTGTGTTTCATGACCTCTTACTTAGCATAGGCCATTTTGATTGGTTGAACTGATTTTAACCATAACAAATTCTGCTACTACCACTCTCTCTTCTTTCCTACTCTATTTTCTTGTTCTTCCTTTTCTCTCGAAAAGAGATTGTATCTTGTGTCTTTCTTTCTTACTCTTTTCCTCTCTTTCTTACTGTTTTTCTTTCTTTTTTTTTCGTGTGAAAAGAAATTGTATGTGGTTAGAATCCTAATACATTGTACTAACCAGCCATTTACTAACGCCTGATGAGATGTGTTTGTAGTGGACGCCTACGTACACCACGCCCACAAATTACTCAACAGTAATTGGACGGAAAATAAACAATACCTTTTGTACAGACAATTTACGCATCGCACAAGCCACATAAAAATTTCTCGTGTTTTTGCTTCGCCAAACTAGCTATAGAAAAAATCAACGATTGGTCGATTTTTGGCCGATCACATTAAATGACACTTTCTTCAATATCCTTCCCGCGCTCGTTCCTGGAGCCACCTTACATCTATATAAAGTAGAAATTAAAGAAATAACTTCAGTAGATTGTAAATTTTTACAACCTAAACCACGTACGTGTATATTCAATTTTCTACTCACAAACACACACAGATATAAACTACACTTAAACACAGTGTACTGTCTGTTTTCAAGCAAAGTGAACTATTCGAACTATATCGTTCTTCTGCACAAGTATTTCAACTTTCAAAGTCAAACATCAAACATTCTTAAACTACCAACAATTTTAAACAAAAGACATTATTATAACATACATTTGTTCTTCACACAATACAAGGGTAACCACTTCGTGTGACTTAATCTTTATTGTTATTAACAGAATTATATGTATATGCTTGTTTTAAATAAATGTTTACTTGTTGATTTTCATTGATCTCTCGTTATTCATTTTTGTGTTTTCTTTACAAATTTAAAGTGGAGTGTTAATGTAAAAACGCAACCTTGATTAAAAACCATTCTGATTCTTTTCTAACCAACACCATTAACTACACCACATGTTGATACACATCGAAACATGATTGCATTTGTGTAGCGTTATTTACATATATTCAACCATAAACACTACAACCTCCCTCTCTGTAAATTGACAAAATACAAGTAGTCGTCGACTTACGACCACGATTGACTGGTCGTAAATCGATCTGGTCGTAAGTCAGCCTGTAATTTTGCAATCTTTTATCTTTACTTAGTCCTTATTCTATGCAACCTTACAGTAACATCACATTGAATCACCTGTTCGCGTACGATCACCGAAGTTAAGCAACGTCGAGCTTGGTTAGTACTTTGATGGGAATACCATGTCCTGTAAGCTTGGATGTGCGGGTGGTTTGATTGACAATAGTTTGGAATTGTGAATCGAAGAACCGAGTTCCATTTCATGTTGCGTCCGTTATAGTCACGTACGCGCAAATACCCTTGCAAAAGGCATAAATCCATCTCTACTCCCTCCAGCTATGAGTTAATTAGTAAGACATTATTATCTCTAAAAACTATTCTTACAATCTAAAAGTATTTTCTGGCTTTAGATAACCTGCAAAGGATTGATAATCTGCAGAATCAACATCCTCAGCGTCCTTCTGTACAACTACATTTCTGTCACTTCAAGCCTCTCCTTCATCTGTGAAAAGATTGTTTAGTATTCATTGCCATAAAAGAGGATCGATATTACATAACATTCATGTACTCTTTTCTTTGTTTCTAATATTTTTCTTAGCTTTTGGAAGGCATCTTTGGTTATTCCAATGCGCCTTCAGATTTCAATGTCACGCTTTCCGTCCCCTGTTAAAACTGTTCCGAGTTTGCTATCTCCGATTTGCAATTCAAACTTTGGGCTCACCCTTTCCATCAATTTTTGTCGCAAAAATGACTATGCCGGATCACGTGATCATAATCATAATAATCCAATCATACTGCATCTTAAACAGATATCACAAAACGGAAAGAATTCTGAAAATCCAGACAGATGCGAAACAGATCATGGCATAGACACACCTTTCTCCATCTCAATTTATCTCTTGAAAATCATGTAACTGTGAAATCTGTAAAGTAATTCTAAATATATATATATATGTGTGCGTGTGTGTGTGTGATTCGCAGACAGTACTGTTTCGCTGTACCACAGCTCTTCAGTGCGACTAGACAACCGAATGCCACAAGCCTGGATTGAAACACAACCGATTTGGAGTCAGTCATTGTCTCTACTATTGAGCTATCTTCACTCGACAGAATGAGTCAGCTAAATCTAGCGTATTGTTTTTTACAAATGCAAACAAACGCGAATCAACCGAAGTGCTCCATTCATTTTACTGAAGAGCTTTGCATTAACGCAGGTGGCTGTTGTTTTTAGAATTAGCTTGTCATTCAACAGTGCTCAATTGAAATATATTTTCAAAAGCTAAATTATGTCATATATATATATATATATATATATATATATATATATATATATATTACTTAAATATCATTCACAGACAGTACTGTTTCGCTTCAGAGCGGCTATATGGGGAAAAATGATATATAACTTGTTCTATAACAGAAGAATATTAGGAAAATTAATGACTAATTAATCATGCCCGGTAAATTTGTGTCCAGGTTCTTATAAATTTCACCTTTCTTGATAGTGCTTCTATTATCACAACGTGGGATGCCTAATAAAAAAAAGTGAAAAAAAGCAAAAAAAAGAAAATGAAACTAAGTGTAATTGACTAGACGATATACGCAAAAAATATATATATATATATATATATATATATATATATTAAAATTTATTAAATTTCAAAGTTTAAATTTCGTGTAAATACCACTTTAATTAAATTGCGTGTAAATATCACTTTAATCCAATGAATTTCTAAAGGACGAAGCGCGTCACACGAAAAACTTTTCCACTTTGTCATAAAAGCGAGCTTAAACAAATACAATCTTCAAGTGGTCAGGAAGGATATTAAAAAATATTTATGTATATTTTACTATCTTCCCTGAGAGCCTGAAGTTTTTGTTTGTTTAAACTCACCTCTCTGCATATGAAACTTTAAGCCACGGAAGCAGCTGCTGAAAAGTCAAATTAAACTCTTTTTATTATTCATATATATATATATATATATATAAAAGTGAACATTGAAGTCAATACTCAGTGGCGACGGATTGTTTCATGTTAAACGCGATCATTATGGCCTGTTGATTGCGTTTAGCATGAAACAGTCTGTCTCCTCTGAGTGTTGACTTCAATATTCACTTTTATATTTACATACGCTCTATCCCGGATATTGAGCACTCTAGCCCATAAATATAGCATACCTTAAAACTATATATATATATATATATATATGAAGATAAAGAGACAAAGTGGAATAGCTATAAACGACGTGTTTCGCCAAGAACACCTGCTGCTTCTGAACTGAAGAAGTTGAAAGCAGCAGACGTTCTCGGCAAAACGCAACGTTTATAGTTTTTCCACTTTGTTTCATTATCGGCACTTTTGTTTCGGATACTATTATACAACCCCATATATATATATATATATATATATATATATATATATATATATATATATAAATAAAGAGAGTGTGTGTGTGTGTGTGTGTGTGTGTGTGTGTGTGTGTGTGTGTGTGTGTGTGTGATACTAACTTCGAGCGAGTAGCCCCGGATAGTAATAACTGGAGACATCTGTGCCAGAGTTGTATGAGAAATTTTGAAATCAGTCGTATTGGCGGACGAAAAAACGAAAGGCAACGACGAAACACCTCAGCAAATATTCCTGTAAGCTATGTCGCTAGATCCTTGCTGTTACACAAGCGGGTCTGAAGTGTCACATTACGATACAAACATAAAAACAAAATGAGATTGCTGGATACTCATACGTCGAAATCGACGGGATCCATGGTCATCATATCTATCTATCTATCTATCTATCTATCTGACCATAAAAAAGTGTCACTTAGCTGACAAAAGTGCCATAAAAAAAAGAATTTAGCCAAACACAATGTACAATAACCAATAAGGAAATTCTGGTTGTTAACACAATCAATCTTCATAGGACTCAGGAACAGATTGCCGCATCTGGGTCGTGAATTGAATATCTATTTTTATATTTACAGACGCTCAATCCTTGATATTGACCCACTTATCTCTCTCTCTCTCTCACACACACACACACACACACACACACACACACATATATATATATATATATATATATATATATATATATATATATATATATATATATATATATTCGAGTCCACTGATTAATTTCGTGGCAGCTGTGTAAAATTGATTAAGAAAAATAATAAAATTTTCTTTCAAATAAATTTTATTTTACCAACTAATTTCAATCTGATCTGAGACCATCTTCAGGGGTTAAATTATCTGTGAATATGTATATTCCGTAAATTCAAACTATATTTAACAGTTCGTTTTAATACGTTATGCAACGTTCTAGATTTCAAATTAAAAAATTCAAATGTTTTTCCGACAGTGTAAGGTTGGTAACTTTTTATTTTTATTTTATTTATTATATATATATATATATATTACTGCTACCAACCTTTAAGAAATTTGTTGCAATGCTCATAATTGACATTATTTTCGGCTTTAACTCTCTCATATAAAGGACTTCTGTGATTTTTAGTTTTTGCTTATTATTAATTATTAAATGTATTTCAACTAATATCTGTCTAAACTGTGAATGTGGGCCTCAGTGTTCGTTTAAATGCTGTGAGATTGAATGGAACGTAATTGTTTTTGTTAGCATCGTCGTAGTAAAACCAAGATGCGTATTAACATTTTTATCAGAGATACAATTTCCTAAAGGACATTTAAATTGATATATAATGTTGGTCTTTTGTAAGATGCTAGTTGACGAAGAAGTATTTTTTTGGGACAACTAGGTTGGCTGTATTAAATTTAGTATAGTATATAATTAATTTTATTTCTTTTAATCGAATCAGTTGGGGATACATTAGTGATTATGAGTCTTTTTATAATTTCTCCCTCCGGCTTATATGCCTTTGATTACTGTATAGTAATTTGGTATGTTTAGAATTATTTAATGATGTATTGTATTCATTTCTATTTATGTTAATATTCCTAATAGCTTGTCTAATTTGTTACACAACAATGTAATTATAAAAGTCATTATTAATGAGAGTTTTTTTTTTAATTTAGTGTAGAAGATCTTTCTTGTTGAAGAATTTGATTCTGTACGTTTTATTAAGTTTCGTATAATAGATATTTTGTAATAGGGCATTCACTTTCAGAGGGCATGTGTTTATACTAGTTGTTTTTTTTATAAGGACAGGTATTAAATGTATTATTATCATTACAGTATAGAGGGAGATGTAATTGTAGCTGCGGCCTGCTCTCATGGACTCCCTAGGTATAACGTCAAGGTAGGGCTGACCAACTATGTTGCTGTATAGCGCGCCGGACTTTTTTGCCAGAAAAATCATGAAGAAATTTAAACTCGACTCTGTCACTATAAAATTTTTAATATGGTAGATGAATTGTGAAAAGTTTTTTTCTTGTTTTTTTTTTTTTTTTTTTTATCACAAGTCATCTACCATAGGCTGAAGAAGTACCATCTTAGTACTGAAACATGAAAATTTTTTGTGTAGGGATGTAAAATGTTTTGTATTGTAATTTATTGTAATAAAAATATTATATAGATTTAAACAGACCATTTACTTAAATATTTGTGTATACAGTGTAACCCGGATATAACAGAGTTGTCGGGACCGGAGAAGTCTCTTATATCCGGGTTTCTCTTATATCCGGGTTTGGTCTATTTTGTTTAGGTAAGTATGGGAACACTTTGGGTCCAGAGAAAATCTCTCTTATATCCGGGTTTCTCTTATATCCGGGTCTCTTATATCCGGGTTAAACTGTATATAAATAACGTATGACAATAATATATATATATATATATATATATATATATATATATATATATATATATATATGGCCTGACGATTGCATCTAGCATGAAACAGCCTGTCGCTTCTAAGTGTTGACTTCAATGTTCACTTTTATATTTACACAGCTCTATCTCTGATATTGAGCACTTTATCCCATAAATATAGCATACTTGAAGAGTATATTTTTTTTATATATATATATATATATATATATATATATATATATATATATATCATATGAATATATATCATATATATATATTATATATATATATCATATATATTTATATATATATCATATATATATATAATATATATATCATAAAACTATATATATAAATATATACATATCATATGAATATATATCATATATATATGTATTATATATATATATATATCATATATATTTCATATCTATATATCATATATATAATATATATATATCATAAAAATATATATCATATAAATATATATATATTATTGTTATACGTTCTTTACATATACACAAATATTTAAGTAAATGCTCTCTTTATAATAAACAGTATTAACAACATTAGTTACAAAGGAGAATCTCGTTAGCTAAACTGGTATAGCACGTCCGGCTATATGACAGTTCTGTATCGGATAGAGGTTCGATTCCTGTCAGAGGACGCATATTTTCTATGAAATTTCCTGGACGTTCAGGCCGGTAGATGTTGTTATTGTTTATTACAAACAGAGCATTTACTTAAATATTTGTGTGTCTATATAAATAACGTATAACAATAAAATATATTAAAATAATTGTCGGACTTTGTCGATTTCGTAGAATATATATATATATAATTTCTTCAGTCCTTTTCTTTTCTTTCCTCAAAGTAAGCTAATCCTAATAATCGTTAAGCAATTACCCGAGGGCGAAATTAAGCAGCTTATTGGCTAAGAAGAATTAATATAATCGTCATGCCAATAATATCTGGGGAAATAATCAGACCAAAAGAGGAAAAAATAGTATTTAATGAGAAGTAATTTTTTTTTTCACGAAATCGATCTTTCGACAGAAAATACCTTTTGAAGGTTGAACAGAACTGATATTCTTTGCATCTTCATCATCTTCAAAGAGGATTTCATATTCCTTAAATTGCCGTTTCATGAATTCGTTAGCCAAGGAATATTTATTTGCTTTGGAGACGGGTTTCTCATTAGCTTTTGGCGCAGATTCATCACACGGCTACAAGTAAAGGAAGACAAAAATAAAACCAGGAGAAAAAAAAAATTGCTCTCATTAATCAAACAGACATAGATTAGAGAAGTCAAGGGTAGGATAGGAAAAGAGTTCCAATAACATAACCGGAATTAGACAAACAGACAGACAAACAAACATTGTGCTTCCATTCTTTTTTTTCCTGGAGATTGCAGATGTCAGATAATCGTCATGTTTTGATTTTGGAAACATAAAACGAGCCGTCTTGGGTATGACGATAAACTACATCCGGGTCCTGGGTGTGACGATAAACTACATCTGCGTCCTGGCTAAGACGATAAACTACATCTGATAGCAAGACCTTTGATCAGAAGATTTAGAGGAGCGTGGAACCACTGATGTTGCAGGGGTGGTAGCACCTGTCAGGGTCCCAGCTATGGGCAAAAACGTTAACCCTCCAAAATGAGTCAAAACACTATGAAAGTATAAAAATAGGTTTCAATACCAGCAATACTTTTTTTTTTTTACCAGCAATACATTTTCGAAAAAATATAACCTGCAATAAAAATCTTGTTAATTAACATCTTAAAATGTCGAGCAAGCACCTTTCCCTGAAAATAAGTTTTAAAACGGAAATTAGAAGAGACACGTAATGGCTGAACATCCGGTTCATTTCTCTTCTTTAATATTCGAGAAAAATTAAATATTTTTGTGAAATATATGTACGACATTGAGATTTTAATGGATAATATGGTAGGAATTAAAAATATATACATAAAGATGGCTGTAATACGGGGTCGTATTATACTCAAAGATATAAGTTATTCTCTGGTTTTTAGCTTCAAAAACACCAAGAAACTAGTATTATAGATAACCGTATTATATACAAGAATTATTTTTGTGGGGGGGAATTCCGCTTGAAAAAAGGGGTGATAACTCTGATGCTGTGAGGTCTTGTTTCATATTCCTCTGTTTGTGAAACATGTGTAAAATTAGATAGTTTTACGCATAAGATAAAGTTTGTTTATATTTGTTTTTTAGTTTTTTTTTTGTATAAAGTTTTCTCTCGCCATTCTTAATGAAACTCAATATTGTTTATTTTCATTTATTATTTATATATAAATACCATAAAGTCGTATAAAACAGAAAAGTATGATAGATTAATAAACACCTTAAAATTTATTATCAGGTATGTCGAGTAAGCACCTTTCCCCGAAAATAAGTTTTGAAACGAAAATTAGAAGAGACACATAATGGCTGAACATCCGGTTCATTTGTATTCTTTAATATTCGAGAAAAACTAAATATTTTTGTGAAATATATGTACGACATTGAGATTTTAATGCATAATATGTTAGAACTTTAAAAAAAAATATTTGAGAATGGCTATACTACTAGGTCATATACTCAAGGATGTAATTTATTCCCTGTTTTTAGCTTTCAGAAACACGGGATCGTATTATACAAAAGTCGCGTTATACACAAGAAAATACGGTATATGATTAACTAGCAAAGACATCCAGATTCGTTACTGAATATTTCGGGTGTCATCTTTTATATGCCGTATCCCTTCAGAAAGTGGGTGATCGTGGCTTTCCTCGATTTCCCGTTCCTTGTAGCCCAAAGCAACAAAAAGGAAACGTCTCCTATTGTGTTTGAACGGCTTGGAGAGAGAGTCACATCTCTGTTGCTGAAAGTTGAAATGTGTAGGTTTGTACATGAAACTTTCCCTGAAAGTAGGCTCGAGAAAAATAGGGTTTTAGTTTTCTCTGATTGGTCAAAAAGTTCAAATATGATGTTAATTTCTAACCAATAGACACTTTGAATTAAACGGTGTGTGTTGTATTGTGAATGGTATGTATGTAATTGTTTTGGAAAATAGTTTTTTTTCCGATATACTCAAAGCGTATTATAAACAAAGTAGTTAATCTTGGTTAGTTCTTGCTCCAAATCATCATGAGACATTTTCATTCAATAAAACTTTGAACCAGGCTTGCCATCGTTGTATCCGCTCATGCAGTAAAACTACCTTTGTTATATGAAGAATTTTTGTTAGCATCTTTAGCGACATAAACCTGACCTTTTGACGTAAGTATAAAGTCGACCAGTGTTATAGAATTTAAAAAAAAAAAAACGAATATTAAATAGACGAATAGACGTTGAGGAGGGCGTGGTTCGTAAAATACACCAACCCACCCAATAAAATTTATTTTCTTTTTCTTTTGTGATATTGAGTATATATATATATATATATATATATATATATATATATATATATATATATATATATATAGTGTGTGTGTGTGTGTGTGTGTGTGTGTGTGGTCCCATCAGAAAGTGGGTGATCGTGGCTCTCTACGACTTCCCATCTCTAGTAGCTCAAAGCAAAGTCTGACTTTTTACCATCCCTCGTCATCGTTTTCCGTTATTCTTTCATACAAACTTTTTAGGTAGGTTACTTCAGGACATGAGTGATCATGGCTCTCTACAGCTTCCTGTGTCTTATATCTCAAAGCAACGTCATTTTTTACCATCCATTGATGTGGATATCACATTAAAATTTTAATAGATAATATATGGTGGGGGGCGTATTATACGCAAAAATGACATTTATTCCCTATTTTTAGCTTCAGAATCATGGTGTCGTATCAAAGATGACATTTATTCCCTATTTTTAGCTTCAGTAAAACACACCAACCCACACAACAAACCAATGAAATCGGTTTTCTTTTTCTTTTGTGATATTACCTGCTTTCTGGGCATGTAGCCTGTTAACAACGCATCATTAATAAAATAAAATAATAACATTTTAATTGATAACAAACGTTTTAAAATTAGCCTTACTACGTTATACATTTCGTTTTTTTTTTTCGACTTGGATATCAATAAAATATGGAACGGCTTTACAACATAAAGTTTTACTCTGAGATGTGAAGGTAGCGTAATGGTTATTGGGACAAAAATGGAATCAGCAAAGAAAGTTCAAATTCCAGCCTATTTAGTCGCATTCACTTTCACACTATTTCCATGGCTAGTCCGTCAGCTAACTGAACTCATGAATTGTTCGTTCTGCTGAGCCAAACAGCTGCCACGTGGTGCAGGTTACATGCCCATGGCTCCATTTGTGGAATATATCTTTACCAGGTATAGACACTATCTCCGGCTTGCAATTCTCATGTGGAAAAACCCATAGCTAGCCATTTTCCGTTTGAGAGGAATATGTCGTCACTAGTGAAATAGCAGATAAATCCAGGTCACTTGAATCTGAATCCTGAATATGACTTCTCCAGAAACACAGAAGTACCTCTGCAGATCCAATTCCTGTTGCGAGTTATTACTCTTTTCATCACTTTTCAAACTGCTTATTGTTGTATATATGTGTTATAGTTTCTTTGCGTGGGACAAGTGTGAATATGTATATATAATTTTGTGTATAACTTAGCGGCATAGAACTCTTACTGAGAACAAAACATGTTTGTCATACCACTTCTTTCAGCTATTCCGTTCCCTCCGTGAAACAAGGTGTTATTATATCATGGATATAATAATGCCCTTAATGGGAGAAACGCAAATGGGAGAATATCCCTATCTGTCATAGCACATCCACTACCTGGTTACTTAACCAGCATGATGCGAAATCGTTAAGCTCCATTAAATCCATTTTTCATTTCTATTGACTCTCGTTTTCCCCAGTAGATCTGCTACATGCAGGGCAGGCGCGTATAACCTCTGACCCCCTACCCGACGACTGGGGTAACCTGATTGGGGGTCGGGCAGTGCTTTGTGACCCATGCTATCTTATCAACATATGCTTTTTTTTTACCTACTTTTATATATATTAAAAAGTAAACTAAGCAATAATTAAATTCTGACTTTTAAAGGATGAAAGGTTTTGATGTCATTCTGGGGTGTTTTTTTCTTTTCGTTTCAAATCCGTGATATTTTTTTTTACAACGTATTAAATGCGACATTATTCTTATGTGAACCCGACAGCCGTTTGCTTTGCTCTTTGATCCATAACAAATTAGACACTAAACATCGAGAGATTAAAGAGCCTTGTCTCAAAAATGAACTTTGATAACGCAAGTTCCACCTACACACTCGGTGAATTTCGAAAAGAATATGAAAATGGAGTATAACAGAGGTAAGCGTATCATAGATTGCATCGGGACTGGCCACATGTCACAACAATGCGCGTAGAACGTGTGTGAAGATGTATTTTTCATGCAATAAATATTTGTTTTTTTATTAATGCATCATAGTTTTTCAATAATTCTTAGTCTATTTTTGCTATGCATTACTCTGGTGGTTTTTGTAAGGAGCGGTCTATTATTTAAAATTCTTGCAATCACGTGGGAGATATACCAGAATGCTAGTCGAGTAATGATCATTCTCGGCTGGGCGCATGGGAGAGAAAGTCTGATGTCATGGAGGCCCGAAACTTGCAAATAAATAAATAAATAAATAAATAGACATTACTGAGGAAAAATTCTAGTACGCAATGGCTGCATGCCAAACAAACTTTATATCAGTCTGACTTTATTGATTACTCTATTATGAGTCCAAACCCGTTATTTAAGGCTTCTTTTCATTTTGTCATTCGATCATCCACAAATAGATAGACAGGTAGATATGACAAGGAATTAATAATGGCTTTTTTTTTTTTTTTTATCATAAAAAATAATTTCATAATTTTTAATTAATTAATTTATTTATTTATTTTTTGTATGTGGATGAGGTTTTTATACACTTTGTGTCCAGAAAAGAAAATACTTTTTCGACCACAAGAAAAATAAAATAAAATTCTTAAATCGAGTACCTTGTCAGTCGTCTTTAAAGGAAATAATACACATATATATATGTTTCGCTATACATATATATATATATATATATATATATATATATATATATATATATATTATTATAATATTTTTATTATAAGGGTTTATGATAAAGGCATTTTAAATCGTTACACAAAAGTTTTCATGCTTCAATACTAAATTGTACTTCCTCAGGTGATGGTTGGTAACTGGTGATGAAAATGATTCGTTAGGGAAATTTTAAAACAATCGTTACCTCTTTTCCGAAAGTTAAAGTTATGATCTTACCCTTTAATTTTTGGAAAAGATGTAACGATTTGTTTTTAAATTTCCCTAAAGCAACATTTTTATAACCAGTTACGAACCATCGCCTTAGGAAGCTCAGTCATAGTATTGAAACATGAAAGCTTTTGTGTCGTGATTTAAAATGGTTTATTATAATCTCTTATAATAAAAATATTATAATAATATTTTGCGCTACTTTGTATTGAGCACTTTTTAAAAAAGTAAATGCTACGAACTGTGGATTTTTACTCCATTTGCACTTTCTCTTATTTGGATATATATATTGTTATGGGACCTTACCCATAATAATAATAATGGACTATTCTATACTTAATACATACTGCACCTCAGGAGTAGGCAACAAGTCAGTCAGTCGTTTGAATCAGTCAGTAATTCAAGTCGAGTCAAGAGTCGAGTCAGAGGCAGTCCGAAACAGAGTCGCGTTCAGACAATTACAGCAAAACATTGGAATAGTGATATTGGTCGAGACTACATTGTTCTCTCTACTAAACCTGATTGTTCATACTAACACTTCTACTTCTCTGTATATATTCCTGTTTGTAATATATCTGTGTTATTCCATAACTGTGTTCGCGTTCTTCTTTATTGATTCTACCTTGGACTATCACCTTGGTACCAGGAACCGGATCATAACATATATATATATATATATATATATATATATATATATATATATATATATATATATATATTCATACGTTTCATTAAATAATATAGACAAGTGTTGTCTATTTATTTTATCTAAATTTTTTCGTAACGTCTGATAAGTTTTAATAACATTATCGTTGAACGAAAAAAATAAATTAAAATTAAAGAATATTTTTTTAATACAATCTGAATTTAGATTCGTTAAAAAATAAAATAAAATTAAACTTATCAGACGTTACGAATTTCTTTTAGATAAAATAAATAGACAACACATGTCTATATTATTTAATGAAACGTGCATGAATGAAAAGATCCTGCCTAAATACACACAATATATGTGTGTGTGTGTGTGCGTGCGTGTGTGTGTGTGTGTGTGTGTGTGTGTGTGTGTGTGTGTGTGTGTGTGTGTGTGTGTGTGTGTTGTACCTATGGAAGATAATGGGTATGTCCCCATTCACATAAATACAGTAGTAAATACTGTATGTTGGTTTGCAGTTGGAGATACTGGTCAAACTCCTCTGCCTCCGGGCAGAAGGGATCTCCAGATGAGGCTATGTCGAACGGCAGAGTCTCGTCTTGGGAAACAGCTACTCGACCCCTTTTTACATGGTGTCTACGGGGAATTTTTTGGCCGACCCTACGGGCTGGGATACCCCGCATTAAATTCGACCTTGTGCCACATCTGACCGCGTGCGGCGGTTGGTAGATATCCTGTAGTTGGAGATTCATTGTGGAATTCACTTGACTTACTTCTACCAGTTGACTACTTCTACGGGCCGCTGGCGAATCTTATATGCGTTGTTCGTGTGTTATCGTTCATTAAGAATATTCGTATGAGTTTTCTATTCAGTAACCTATATATATATATATATATATATATATATATATATATAACAAATAATACCATTTATGACATACATAGATATAAAATATATCTTTTAATTATATTTATATATTAATTTTCTATTTCTATTTATTCATATATATATATGTGTGTGTATGTCTGTGTGTGTTGGTACAATTAATTTGAAGAATATGTGCAAGACAAATAGTAACAGACCTGCGTCATAAAGAATGCAGTCTCTTGGTTGGCGTCGTATTCCTCAGACATCTTCTGATCATCAGCATGACCGTCACTCTCAGCTGTCCTTTCACTGTCAATTCTTTCCTCTTTCTCATAGTAACCCCCTGAATATTGTTTGTTTGAGAACCTTGAAAATGACTGCTCACTGCGTTCGCTTGGGGCAGCAGGTGATCGCCCAGAAACAAAAGCTGAAGCGGGTTTGGAAGATTCCAGCGACAGAATTTGGTCCACAGTCAATTTCGGAAGCTTACGAACGCCGTCTTTTACCTGCGAAATATAAAGAACAAACATTCTTAGACTAAATTCTACAGAGTTTCTTTTCATCGACGGAACAAAATCTTTCTTCTATTAATTTATCATCAGATTTTTAATACCTTTTTTTTAATTTGTTCTGTGTTTTTTTTAAATTTTTGAATATCAAAGTTTACTATAAAGCATGGAGCTGGGAGCTGGAAGGGAGTTCCACGAGCGGAAAATGTGAGAAAGAAACTGTCAACATAGAACTTATGGTTACATCTAGCCAATTCAACAGTAAATTGGTGAAACCCATTCGCCAGTCCAGTACGGCACTTAAATTCAAAGTTTAGACATTATGGCGAAGTGCGATATTTATTCTGAGTATATACAGAAATGTGACACAAGGACTAAATGGGGAAAAGGACGATCTTGTTCTGTCTTCACTTTGAACATAGCTAGCCATAAACACTGCCCCAATCAGACAACAGTATTCCTTACACCAAAACAACACATTCCTATTTACCTTTCTTACTACATTCACCGTAATACCTCATTGTCTCCACGAAAATCCTAACTCGTCCCCATATGTACAATTCATTGTCTGTGTGGGATGGGGAATAACATAACAATTTAAAAATCTAAACTCCAATGAATATTTAAAAAAATGAACAAAAATTATATACAAGAAATTAAACAAAATAGCACCATAGCAAAGAGCGATATTTATTTCCGCTTCAAATACAGAAAATGTGGCACAAGGCCAAAATAGGGAATGGGGAAAAGGACGGTCTTCTTCTCTCTTAACATTTAAACTTAGCTAGCCATAAAAACTGTCCCAAACATACCACAATATTCCTAACACCAAAACAATATATTCTTATTTCCCTTTCTTACTACATCCACCACAATACCTCACTAGTCCCTATATTTACAATTCATTGTCTGTAGGGGGCGGGGAATGAAAACAACAATTTAAAAAATAGTCCAATGAGTATTTACAATATGAAAACAAAACTATTTTCAAGAAACTAAGCAAAATAATATTAATAATAAAACCACTCACAATCCTTAAATGTGGCAGAAACATCAGTTAACTGGACGAAATCAATGCGTGACTTTAATAATATAAAACATTGATTCATCCCAAGCACTCACTCAAATACACTCATTAAAACACAACAAAATACGAAAATCACACCCGAAACGAAAGCCGCCCCGCATCTAGCAAAAAACTGACATCACTGGCCACCTAATGAGAGAGGGGATGGGGAATTAAACCAATGAAAAAGGGGGACAAAAATAAATGGAGCCAATGAGCAAGCATCTATCTGAGTTAACTGGAATGAAGAAACTAAAGACACAAAAACAACCCTAAAGTAACCACAGTGAAGAACTCATCCGAACAATTACCATGAAAATATTTATAGAAAAAGCACAGAGGGGGGGGGCAAATAATGAATTTATATCAATATTTCTAATGCTACTAGTGTGCGTCAAATAATAATATGCAGTAAAGAGATAGATAAAAACAAAGAATAACTGAATATGGTTTTGTGTCTTGTAGTTTACTCAATAGAGTCGCTGCTGGAAATAACAGGGTTTCCTGAAGAAAAAAGAAAAAACCTGAAATAGTTCAAGTAACAATAATAATCTTTTGATCGAGTTCAACACCAAGCAAGGCAGTAAAGCCACTAAGACACAAGGGGTTACTGGGAGTGGAATAATTAGGAAGAGAAACATTAATAACACTAGTCAACAACAAAAAATTTGAAATAGAGACACCAAACATCTGTTTTAGCTAATTTGAGATCGCTGAATCTGAAAATGACCTTACTTTTTCTTGGTTAGCTACTGTTTTCGCTGTACAGAAATGCCTCATTTTGGGGGGAAAAAGGGCATTTTTTTCATTTGTTTTCTGTATATATGATATTGACCGAAAGCAATATTTCTGAAAATAAAATCGTACAAAACTCTCAATTCATATTTAAACCAACAAATATTGGTCTGCTTATTGAGAAATACTATTTTTGCAATAACAATCACACTCTAAGTCTTTAAGAATGAAACGATTGAATATAGCAAAACGAACAAAGTATTTTCATTACATAATTTAATAAACTAACAGCAGAAATAAAACCATCATGAACATAAGAACTATGGTAAAAATGTTCTTTTTCTTGATTGTCTGTCATATTCAATGTTATTTAAGACCCTTTTGATACTCCAGCAGTATCATATACAATGGAATAGGTGAATTCAATTGGGATGTCTTTAGTTGGAGTTTCTTTCCAACTGTGAAAACAAAATGCTCTCAATCTGCTTGGTTTCCTTCCGTAGTGAAGGGATAAAAGTGATGGGATAAATTTATGAACATCAAACAGAAGATTTTAGGGCTTCGTTTTTTTTTTTATGTCACCTTAATTATCAGATTTACTAAAGTGCAGTACTGATAGGGTTCATCAATTAATTTGAATTTTGGCGATAAATTGGAAAAATTCGGTACTGTTATTTTAAAATTTTTGATTCAAAAACATTTTTTCTTATAAAAATAATTTATTTCAGGTTGGCTGACATAAATTGCTTAGCCTACCTGAAAACTGATGGGTTTGTACGACGTTTATTAACTAAATTTGGCGATCTTTTTTTCCACAAATTAATAATTTCAATACAGCCAAAATGGTAGCTAACCATGAAAAACTAAGGTCAGTTTCGGAATCAGTGCAACAAAATTAGCTAGAAAATGTATTTTGTTGACCAAAAATCGTGTAATGAGTGGAAAGAGAAAAGAGTAATCAAGAGGACAGCAGATAGCGATTGGCATTGCATTTAAATTTTTGAAGATTAAAGTTGTTGGGGAAGTATGGAACCGAAAGGGAGTTCCACAGGTGAGAAGTGCGAGAACAGAAGCTGTTAGCATAGAACTTATAGTTACATCTAGCAATTTCTTCCTAGCTGTCATTATTTATTTATTTTCTTCCATGTTTGGGTAAATATCTGTACACACGGCAGGTATTATTAGGACCCCTACATATACAGGGTGTGGCAGAAGTACCTCCCACATATACCTCCCAGATAATGGTAAGACATTAGCTTCAGGTTGCAGCAGAAACAACTCACACATTTTAGACTGTTACCTGTATAGTGCTAATGAACTTAGGCAAGTAGCAATGGTCTCTTGTTAATTTCTTACCATTATGTGGGAGGTACTTCTGCCACACCCATTAGCTAATATCTTACCATTAGGGGAGCGTTATTTCTGGGAGGTAACTGTGAAAGGTATTCATGTCGCACCCTATATATGGCAAACCAAACACGTGTAAAACATGGTTAGAACTTAGTTGGGCGATTTCTTGCAAAGACAAGATAATCTAAGCAGGCCATGTTCTTGTGCCAAACTTAGCAAAAATGAATCAATATGAGAATTGATTTATTCGTTTTCTGCGGCTTAAAAACCCAATGCAGGTTATTTAAGACTAGAAAATATTTTTAGGCTGTAAGAATATTTTTTGGGAGATAATGGTTTTAGCAATATAATTCTTACTAATTAACCCATAGCTGGGGGGCAAAGAGGTAGATTTATACCTTTCTCAAGGGTATTTACGCGTAAATGAATATAACGAACCCAAACGGAATTGGAACTCGGCACTCTGATTAACAATTCCGAGCCATTATCCATTACACCAGCCGAACATTCAAGCTTACAGCACTTGATATTTCTCACCCATTTTGTTGCTGACCAAGACCGACATTGCTTAACTTCGGTGATCGTGCGACAACCGGTGTTTCAATGCTATATAGCCGTAAGCTAGTCAATATGAAAAGTATGTTTGCTTATGTTTAGATAACTGAAATCAATATATCGATTGGCGTTCCACGACCGGATTTCTCGACCGGATTTCTTAACCCTGAAAGCTAGCCAGGTGCACTCCAAGTTAACAAAAGAGTAATTTGGGAATTAGTTTCATACTTTTTAAAGAATCTTTAATTTTAAAAGGCTACATACACCAAACACATGTTTTCCGTGTCTAATCTAAGTCTTTGTCAGTTGATATTTTAAACTGGATGCTAAATCATTAATCTTTCCATTATTGTTTGAGATAAAATTGTCTCTCTCGGACAGCCACTACGTAACATTTCATGGGAACATCGGTTAGCAATATTCAGGCAGCCAATATAAGGATTGTATTCTCAGGCTACTTGTGCCAAAAATTATATATATACAGGATGTTTCAAAAATTTTTTACAAACTTTGGACGGCTAGTACTTCATGCCAAAACAAGGACAAAATCCATACAAACATATGTCCGCAAATCCTTCGTTTATGAGTTACTAGCAGCATGGCCCGGCGTTGCCCGTGCTTGATTCAAAAATCGTACGACTCATACAGCAATCGCTATTACTTGACTTAAAATATTTTTGCCCTTCCTTGCCTTTAAAGGAGTGCCCTTTGCCGTGCTGATGTTGCTATATGCCTTACTTCTTGCCTATCTCACACTTCCAATTTTTTTGTAAGCTCTATACTAAATTAAATCTCTTACGAAAAATAGAACTAAACAAAATGAACACAAAAGAATCAGTTTTAAAAAGGACTCGTAACTGGAAAAACCGAATGAAAAAAGAATGTTAACAACAAATACTTTTACACACCCAACCCAGTTCTGCGGAATCAAAATCAACTTTGAGTTTAAGCAAGCAAATGAGCCAATTGGAGTAAAGTGCCATGCAGATTTAAATTTTTCCCACTTGTGACGAATGCATCTATCGATATTTTTTGCATGCTAGCATGCTAGTTAACATTCGTTTCAGTCAGCTGTTGGCTCTCACACTGGCAATAGAATCTTCCTGTCTATTCGTGGCAGCCAGCTATAGGCTCTCACTTTGGCCAGTAGAAAATGGCCGCAAACTACATGAAAACTGCCGTAGAAGCATGAAAAAATTGATTATTTCCACTATCGATGGGAGTTTGGAAATACAAAGTCGGTTTTGGCCTTCCTGCTAACTTGGAGCATGTGCATGTAAATTTTGGTGCAAATCCGTCGAAAATTGCGGCCGTGCATTCGTTACACACACACACACACACACACACACACACACACACACACACACACACACACATCCTGCCTTTTATAGATAGAGATTAAGTCTCAAGTTTACGCTAGACGCTGTTAAATGTACAATCTAAGGTACAATGCAAAAATACTTTTACAAACTTTGGGGTGGATTCCTCACATCAAAACAAGATAAAATATCCATATGCCCAAAAGACAATTGATATACCTCAACGCAGCTACTCCTAATAAATATTCAAAATGTCCTCCGCTTTCCTGTGCACACGCATGCACCCGTCGGATCATTGGATGGCGGACATTTTCAAATATTCCCACACAGTGTCTAATGGTTTTGCAGGTCCCCATGACACGCTGATGAATTGTCTCTGCATTATTAATGTCTGCTGCATAAACCAATTATTTTTGGTAGCCCCCACAGATACAAATCCAAAGGTTTGAGGTCGGGGGAACTGGCTAGCCATGGAACCGATCCTCTCCTATCGTCATGGTAGATGTCAGCCAGTGCATCGCAAACAATATGACTAAAATGTACTGGAGCCTCATCATGCATGGACTACAAGCGTTTTCGTATGAGCAGGGGTACATCCTCTAGAAAGTTCTGGAAGTGTGTTCGAAATAAAGTCCCTGTAGACAGCTCATGTAAGACGTGCTGGCAACATATGGACCTACCAGACAGTCACTTAAAATTCCAGCCCACACATTAATCGTAAACTGATGCTTGTGTCCATGGGGATTCCGATCCGTCCACAGATGTTGGTTGTGTAAATTTGTTATTCCATCGCTTCCAAATGTTGCTTCACCTGTAAACAAAACTGAAGATACAAACAACGGATCGGTATCTGTCTATATTTCTGAGATGGGGTATTATGTACATTATTTACATTCTTCGGACTATTGTCCTCATCTTTGTTGCCATATTTATTACAACGTTTCGGCCTTTCAGTATCTGTCTATATTTCTGAGATGAGGTATTATGTACACTATTTACATTATTCGGACTATTGTCCTCATCTTTGTCGCCATATTTATTACAACGTTTCGGCCTTTCAGTATCTGTCTATATTTCTGAGATGGGGTATTATGTACATTATTTACATTCTTCGGACTATTGTCCTCATCTTTGTTGCCATATTTATTACAACGTTTCGGCCTTTCAGTATCTGTCTATATTTCTGAGATGAGGTATTATGTACACTATTTACATTATTCGGACCATTGTCCTCATCTTTGTTGCCATATTTATTACAACGTTTCGGCCTTTCAGTATCTGTCTATATTTCTGAGATGTGGTATTATGTACACTATTTACATTCTTCGGACTATTGTCCTCATCTTTGTCGCCATATTTATTACAACGTTTCGGTCGTTGTATGCCTCGGCATTCTTCAGGTGGTTGGAATGTCGAACTGAACCCTTTATTTCGCTAGACTGTTCTAGTTCTACGTACCATGTTTAATGGATGTCAGTTATCAGTTATCTCCTGTTAATTTCCCTCTGAATGTTCTCCACTGTCTTAACCGGTTATTGAATTCACAACCGGCATTGAATAGGTCCTGTCACTGGATCTAACTAACGCCTTTATCCAATGTGCCATGTGTCCTTGAGGACGCATGACACAGTGGATAAAGCGACAAAGATGAGCACAATAGTCCGAATAATGTAAACGGATCGGTAGTTTGTGCAGTAAACCATTGGTAACACTTCTCCCGTAGTGAGTGATCAGAGGGCTAAATATCTTGCATGCTTTAAAAATATGGATACAGAAGCTGCTCTTGAAGTACCTTCCATGTGGTACTATGAAATATACGATGTACAAGGGCCACTTGATATGTGCTGATAACTCGATCGTCTCGGACAGCCTGTAAAATGTGTTCTTCGTGGTCAGGCGTATGAACGGATCTCGGTATTCCCCAATCCTGTTTCAGCAACGTAACGATAAACAGCAGAATAAGTTGGATGACTCGGCTGCTTTTGGTCTGTAAACACATTTCTGATACAACCGTGCAGCCTCGCGTCCATTGCTATTTACGCAGCCGTTATAAAAATCATATCTGCCTGCTCATGATATGAATATCCTGCCATTGTTAAACGGAAAAACCCTCAGTGAACTCACCACTACACACGTTAAATGTTGAATACAGACTAGCCATAATTGTACACGAATGACAAATGTAACCTAATCTACTGGCAACACAGCATCGTCTACAACTATCCCAATGCACCTTTGGAAAGTTCTTGGTTTTATCCATAGCTTGTGATGCCACGGATTCTGTTTCAGCAACGTAACGATAAACAGCAGAATAAGTTGTATGACTCGGCTGCTTTTGGTCTGTAAACACTTTTCTGATACAACCGTGCAGCCTCGCGTCCATTACGATTTATGCAGCCGTATATAAAAATCATATCTGCCTGCTCATGATATGAATATCCTGCCATTGTTAAACGGAAAAACCCTCAGTGAACTCACCACTATACACGTTAAATGTTGAAGACAGACTAGCCATAATTGTACACGAATGACAAATGTAACCTAATCTACTGGCAACACAGTATCGGAAAGTTCTTGGTTATATTTTAGCAGTGAAATATTAGAAACCAAAGTAACGGTCATTAAGTCACAACTGGAAGAAAGTGAGAAAAATTAAAAAGAACGCTGTATTTAAATTGTGCTTACCGTTCGCAGTGACTTGGGATAAATTTCTGTGTGATGATGAGATGGAACACATGGTTGCTGACTAAAGAATAAAACAAAACAGCATAGAAATAATAACAGACTTCAGTAATGGTATTTTGTAAATGTCTCTTCATTTAAATATTGGTGAAATTAGCACTTATTTAAGTACGATGATTTGCTGGAAATCACTCTGTCAATAGTAGCAAGAATGTCTGGCAATAGTAGCAAGAATATCGTACGATTATTACTGCTTTAGTGATAGTTATATGGCTGGTGCTAGCCTTGAGCAGAGAGATTGCTTGCTAACATTATCCGCTGACATGAAGTAGAAATATTATATAGAATCAATTGCTAGGTCTGCTGATAGGAATTCTGGTTCCCTCTGTCGTGCCAGAGAATTCTTTCTCGCCAGAATCTGTCTTACATATTCATAAGTCTACCATTCATCCATGCATTGAATATTGCTGCCACATCTGGTCTGGTGCTTCTGCTATATACCTAGAAATTGTTGATAAAATCCAAAGAAGAATGTATCTTACATATTTATAAGTCTACCATTCATCCATGCATTGAATATTGCTGCCACATAGGGACGGCTGCTGCTGTTATATATCTAGAGATCCTTTTTAAAATCCAAAGAATAATCAGCAATATTATTGGTCCTGATCTGGCATATCGGCTTCAGTCACTTTTTTTACACCGCCGTAAAGATGACTTCCTGGGCATTTTCTATAAATACTTCCATGGTAACTGTTTTATTTTCATCCCTCCACAGACATGAATTGTACATATCAGCGCTAGTTAGGATTTTCATAGAGACATTGTGACCTTATGGTGGATGTTGTAAGAATGGTAAATAATAATGCATTTTTTTGGTGTTAGGAATATTGTCGTATGTTTTTTCAGTGATCGTGGCTAGTTAAGTGTAATGTTAAGACAGTAGAAAACCATCATTCCCCCCCCCACTCCCCATCTTGGCCTTGTGCCACATTTCTGTAAATAATGCGGAATAAATATCGCTTTTCGTTATGGTAGCTAGACTTTATGAATTTAAGCGCAATACTAGACTGGCGATGAGGTCTCACCAATTTACAGTTGAGTTAGATGTAACCGCAAGTTCTATGCTAACAGTTTCTTTTCTCGCACTTCTCGCTTGTGGAAGTACCTTCAGTGTCCATGCTTTCCAGCCAACTTTAATCTACAAAAATTTAATAGCAAAGTCTATTTCTATCTATTGTCCTCATGATTACTCTTATGTTCTCACTCAGTAGCAATATTTCTGTTTCCGAATTCTTCTACATCCAGTAACACCTTGTGTCTTAGTGGGTTTACTGCCTTGCTTGGGGTTAACTCGATTGAAAAAAATGTAAAGCAATTGTTTATTTTATTGACTTTAATATATACTTAAATGTAATTAGAATATATTTAAAGAACGGTTTTGCAATAAAGTTTTAAATATATCATTAATGACTTCAAGAAGACATCAGATCATCACATAAATATGTAATATGATAGTGATAGTATTAATGAGATTTTTTATCTTCTAAAACACTATGATTATAATTGTTTATACAATTTTAAACAGAGAAGTTATCTACAATACGATTCAACTTGCTAGCAATTTCTCCTCACTAAAAACTCATAGTATGGTTAAGTGGTTATTTTTTTTTAATCCTTTCACTCCAAACAAGGCGTTAATGCCACTAAGATGCAAGGCGTTTCTGTGAATGGAAGAGAATGAGAAAACTTTACTGTGAAGGAAGGACAATAAAAGTACAGTGTTCAGGAAGAGAAAAGATGGTAATTGATGTCGGATTAAAATTTTTAAAGATCATATATGGCAGGTAACCAAGAAACTGGAAAAGAATTACACAAGTGAGAAGTTCCAGAAACTATTAGAATAGAATTTAATGTTATATCGAGCTATTTCAAAAGTAAAACGATGAGACCTAACTATCATTCTAGTAGCACGCTTCAATTCATGCAGTCGAGGTACCAAGAAGGAAACTCATTGGAATAACTGCAATGAAGATATTTAAACTTTATTCAACAGTATTCGGATGATAAATTTTATGTGGCTCATTAGGCTGGCTGTCCGATGGAGTACACATTCATTTACACCTGGCTTCTTAGGCAGTGCTATGAAAATGGATCTACTTAGGTCTTCCGGTATTTCACCATTATCGTATAATTCATTGTCAGTACCAAAATCATCTAAAGTAGACAAGTTACAATTCCATGTGGTCCTGCTGCGTTTTTTCTGTACAACTTTGCCGGTGCGGATATAAATATCAATATTTCGGTTCTTCCATATTTTTGTGTACTGCAGATTTTCCTTTTTCTTGGTAAATTTTTTTAAGTATTTTTTCTTTTACTCTTTTGATTTTATTTATCCTGTTGCTAATCACATCTTTTGTCCTGTCATTTCTCATTTTTTATGCATATCTGCCTTATTTATGATGCTCTTTCTTTCTATTTTTGCACACTTTTCGTTGGGTCATTCATTTGTTTTTATTGCTAATTTATTTGTGCAGTGCACTATCTTCTGTGCCATAACTTGGCATCGTTTGCTATCTCCTTTTCACCAATCGAGAATTTCATCTGACATCCATTCCTCTTTTTTTTCTTGTCTCGTTTACTCTGGAGTAATTACCTTTGTTGATGTTACTAAAGCTTCTCTTTAAGTGCCCCACTTTGAACTAAATAAGAATTGAAATTCATAGCAGCTTCTTCAATTTTGGGTTATTCAGGTGTCTGTCGAATTGCAATTTGAGTGCTGCTTTGGCTCGCTTAAAATTTCGGTTTCACTCTAAGGTTACCTATCACTAGAAGGTGCTCGCTTCCGCAGTAAGAACTTGAATATGTTTTACAGTGTAACTGCAATCTTGAATATTTATCATTATGTAACTGATTTGATTTTTCGTTTCACCCACTGGGTTCCCTTATCACCATATACGTCTTGGGTTTTCTTGAAACTACAATTCTGCTATTCAGTCAGTTATGTGCCATGCGTGATACATGCTTAGGCGATCATGTATCTTTCGATACATGACTGACGAGGCAGAATTTTCCCAGAGTAGGTTGCATTTTTTTTTTTCTGCGGTAGACCAGTTGCCATTCAAGGCTATAGAACCCGGTCTGTCCTGCTATTTACCCATAGCTGGCGGGAGAAGAAAAGGATTCATACTTTTCCCAAGGGTATTAGCACGTAAGTGAATGTAATGGACTCGACTCGAATTCGAACTCGGCTCCCCGATTCCTTAATCCGAGCCACTATCCATTACTCCACCGTACCTGATCGTACGCCATGAACCATTGGGTCCATATTTTACGCGTTCATTGCCGATTCCTAGTTCGAGTTTGCCAACTATTTCACCATCTTGTTTCTTCCTTATTTTAGCATCCTGGTTTCCCATGAATATTATGATTTCTTGTGATTTGCATCGAGCCATGTCGTTGACTCGTGTACAGTAAAACGTTTCAATTGCTTCTTCCGTACCCTGTTTTGTTGATGCATATACAACTGCATTGGTTATATTAGAAGGCTTTCGTTTCAATTTAACTACAAGAATTCTATCAGATAGTTAATAGTATCCGAGAACACACTTCTTCATTTCTTGGATTAATATCAGTTCTACTCCCCTTTCATTTATCCCTCTGCCTGAATATATGACTCTGTGTTTGTGCTTCATGAAATCTTCTGTGTTTTCCCAAGGACGGTTCAAGGGTCTTGTTGCCCCTCCCCACCCGAATCTACGACATGTCCCCCACCCCACTCTTCGACATATCAATTTTCATAAGGTAATATTCATATCAAATACAAATTTTATTGTAACCTAATTATGTACAATAACGGATCATATGCAATGTAAGTAAACAAATCAACTAGAAAAATAGAAAATAAATCCAATGTATCTAAATACAAATTAGAGACATGTCATAATAGATCATTCTATATTTTTTTCTATCGTTTTGTATACTTTTTAACCTTCGGTCAGTACTCAGTAGCATTGTCACAGCCAGGGCTGGTGAAAAGGTCTCGTGTCCCCACCCTAAATCTATGATACGCCCCCCCTCTAGGACATCTCAATTTTCATATGCAAGAGATTCGTGCCCCACTATTCTGTGATACGGCTCCCCTACTCTACATCTCATTATCATAGAGGTAGTATTCATATAAAATTCACATTTTATTTGAACCTAATTATGTACATTAGCGGATCATATGCAATATAGGTGAACAATTCATCTAGAAAAATTGAAAATAAATCCAATGTATCTAAATACAAATTAGAGACATGTCATAATAGATCATTCCATTTTAAATAAATCAACAATGTTTTACGCCAATTTTTTATATCAACTTAAGATTTTTCTTGTTAAAAAGTTGAATCATTTTAACTCATTCAACTCTATGGATAGAAAATAGTAAATTTTATATGGTTTTTTTTTTTTTTTTACTTAGAATTTAAATGGATTTGAACGAAAAAAAAAGCAATCCCAGAATGATGTCAAAATCTACGAAAGTTTTTCCGTTTAATAAAAGTTTTTCTTTGGATTTCTAATTTGCAATATTAGCGTAACAACAGGCCCAGTGCAAGGGGCTCGTGCTCGCTCACACCGAATCTGCGATAAAGCGCTCTACACTCTGTTACATCTCAATTTTCAGAAGTTAATATTCATATAAAATACAAATTTTATTGTACCCTAATTGTGTACCATAATGGATATTATACAATAGAGGTGAACAATTCAACTAGAAAAATTGATAATAAATGCAATGTATCTAAATACAAATTAGACACATGCCGTAATAGATCATTCCCTTTTAAATAAATCAACAATGTTTTGCGCCAATAGATCAACTTATGATTTTTCTTGCTAAAAAGCTGAAGAATTTTATCCCATTCAACATCATTGCATTCCCTGTAATGATTACATATATAACGGATAGGATTTATTAAACAAATACGTCAAAACTTTCATTCCCTCTAATGATTACATATATAACAGATATGATTTATTCAACAAATAGGGCAAATTTTACATTCCCTGTAATGATTACATATATAACGGATATGATTTATTCAACAAATAGAGAAAAATTTTCATTCCCTCTAATGATTACATATATAGCGGATAGGATTTATTAAATAAATATGGCATTTTTTTCATTCCATCTAATGATTACATATATAATAGATAGGATTTATTAAATAAATTCGTCGAAATTTTCATTTCCTCTAATGATTACATATATAAAGTAGAGGATTTATTAAACAAATAGGGCAAATTTTTCATTCCCTCTAATGATTACATATATAATGGATAGGATTTATTAAATAAATAGGGCAAAAATTCCATACATTCTAATGATTACATATATAACGGATAGGATTTATTAAACAAATACGTCAAAATTTTCATTCGCTCTAATGATTACATATGTAAAGGATATGATTTATTCAGCAAACACGTCGAAACTTTCATTCCCTCTAATGATTACATATATAACGGATATGATTTATTAAAATAATACGTCAAACCTTTCATTCCCATGAATGATTACATATATAACGGATAGAATTTATTAAACTAATGCATCAGACATTTCATTCCCTCTAAAGATTACATATATAACGGATAGGATTTATTAAACAAATAGGGCAAAAATTTCATACCCTCTAATGATTACATATATAACGGATTTGATTTATTAAACAAATAAGGCAATTTTTTCATTCCCTCTAATGATTACATATATAACGGATAGGATTTATTAAATAAATAAAAAAAAAAAAATTCCATACATTCTAAGGATTACATATATAGCGGATATGATTTATTAAACAAATAGTGCAATTCTCTCTAATAATTACATATATAATGGATAGGATTTATTAAACAAATACGTCGAAATTTTCATTTCCTCTAATGATTACATGTAACGGATAGGATTTATTAAAATATACGTCAACACTTTCATTCCCTCTAATGATTACATTTATAACGGATATGATTTATTAAATAAATACGGCAAATGTTTCATTCCTCTAATGATTACATATATAATGGATATGATTTATTAAATAAATACGGCAAATTTTTCATTCCTCTAATGATTACATATATAATGGATATGATTTATTAAACAAATAGGGCAAATTTTTCATTCCCTTGAATGATTACATATATAACGGCAGTGCAAAAAATGAATAGAATTGAACGAATAACCAACCTGATTACACTAATTCCAAGTTTTTGGACGAAGACTTTCTTCAGCAAAGTCAGTCTCTTTACCTGTTGTTTCTTTATAAGTGGATTCCCATGAATGGAAAGGTTTTGGATAGCGGGCCAAGTTGCGATTGCTAGTAGAGCTTCCTCGTTGTAGAACTGCAAAATTGAATTTCACGGTTAAGCAACTTTTTCTTTTTTTTTCTTTTTTAATTATTTAATCTCAAGTAAGACAATAAAGTCATTAAAACCCAAGTGGTTACTGAGTGCGGAAAAAAATGAGAAAAAGAAAAAAATCATTATTCAGGAAATCGATTAATAAAAGAACGGGAATTAAGAAAACAGAACGTAACGATTGACACTCCATTTCAATTTTTGAAGATGAAAGTTGCCTGGAAAGCAAGAAGCCAGAATTGAGTTCCACGAGTGAGAAGTGCGAGGAAAGAAACTGTTACCATAGAAGTTACGGTTATATCTATCCATTTCTAACTGCCAATCTAGTACTGTGCTTAAATTCGTAAAGTCGATGTACCAAAGAGGAAATCTCTCTAGAACAATAAAATGAAAATATTTATTAAAAAAAGGCATAGGGAAGCTACGTTACCGTCGTGGGAAAGTGACTGAAGACGAGATGCCAGGTCAGGACTAATGACATCGCAGATTCTTCTTTGAATGTTATCAAGAATCTATAAATGGATAGCAGGGACACCAGATGCGGCAGCAATAGTCAAAGCAATGACGAATGGTAGACTTATAAATATGTAAAATATAATCTTATGAGAAAAACTGTCTAGCATGACACAATGAACCAACTTTCCTACTAAGCAGACTTAGCAATTGATTCAATATAATCTTTCCACTTCATGTCAGCGGAAAGCGGTAATCTAAGAATTCGCAATGGAATGCAGAAACCTGTACCTGCCTGTAACGGCATTCACCCGGGGTGGGTTGAGCCGGATCCAATATTGGAGTTTCATGGGAATTTGGAATTCACAAGCGGTCCTCAACCCGCATGTATAGCACATGAGATTTGATTACGGTGGTGAAGGTTTCGTGCAGGACCATCCACACTTTTTGAAGGGCCGATTACAGAAACCTGGTGCACTAAAGTGCCACATGGTCCCCAAACGGCCCTCCGCAGATTTTGAATTCAGAGTTGTCCTTCTCCTAGACCAGTTGCCATCCAAGGCTATAGAACCCAGTCTGTCCTGCTATTTACCCATAGCTGGAGGGAGAAGAAGAGGATTCACACCTTTCCCAAGGAGATTACCACGTAAGTGAATGTAATGGATTCGACTGGAATTCGAACTCGGCTCTCCGATTCCTCAATCCAAGCCGAATGGAATGCAGAAAGTGTTCTCTTAAACCGTTAATAGACATCAGTTTCGTTTTTATATAAAAAAATCCTATAAGCTTATAAAATAATTTAAAAAAAAAAAAAAAAAAAGCATTTCATTCCAGGCAATGCAATAAAGCCACTAAGGAAAGTGCTCGGACGAACTACATTTCCTGGTCTCACCAAGTCAAACCTTCACAGCAAGAACACACCATACGACTTAGTAACAAACTACCCACATTCCCACATGGCCGTATCTCCAAATAATATTAATACTATTTAAAATAGTACTTAGTTCATGTTAAAAAAATCCAAGTTACATTCTATCGTCGCCTATTGGACTCCGACCGGTCACAATGAACAGATGTCCCTTCAAGGTGGCACCGTGCCTTGAGATACTATTGGACTTTAAACTGACACCTGGCTTCAAGTGAAACTCGTCCATACGATCAATCGCTAAAGATGCAGTTAAAATGCCCCCCAACTTCTAGTAAGTACTTAACTCTTCTTGCTACCCTCTACCTTTACAAGAGCCAGCTCAGGAGCGAAAATGGAGTACTGTTGTCATATTTAGGTGGGAGCTGCCAAGTCCTCACTTTCCAGTCTCCATAGAGTTGAGAACTGTCTATTTCCCGCCCCCTTCTCTCTCTCTCTCTCTCTCTCTCTCTCTTCCACAGGTTGGATGTGGAAAGCCTGTCCTTGCTCTATCGCTACAGCCATGGAAAGTGTTCGAACGAACGACATTCCTTGCTTCTACCAGTTTTAACCTTCAGGGCTTGGACCCGCCAGACCACTTACAAAGTAGCAAACCACCCATATTCCTCCCCATATTCCATCAGTGAGAAGTAAGTTCCACTAGAGCAGCTTCTTCCCACGAACCACTGTCCTATGGAACCGACTCACAATAAGATGTTTCCCCAATCACTATAATCTTAACCCGTTGAAGGCTAGGGTTAACCGTTACCTTCCGCTGCTATACAGACAAATGGCTTCCTAAAGTAACCTTCTACCTTTAGTGTCTCTCGGGCCTTGTAAAGTGTGAAACTTACTGTAAAAAAAGAGGTAAAGGGAAACTAAGTCTGGGAGAATGTGAGAAAACACACATTATTAATGAGTGAGGACAATAAAAGAAGAGGAGTTAAGAAGACAAAAGATAACGATTGACATTGTATTTAAATTTTTGAAGACCAAAGTTGACTGGGGAGCATGAATCCGGAAGAGAGTTCCACAAGCGAGAAGTGCGATAGAACTTAAGGTTACACCTAGCCATTTAAACTGCGAAATAATGAGACCTAACTGCCAATCTAGTGCTGCGCTTAAATTCGTAAAGTCGAAGTGCCAAAGAGGAAATCGCACTAGAACAATTATCATAAAAATATTTATAAAAAAAGGCACAGGGAAGCTACGTTACGACAGTGGGAAAGTGACTGAAGACGAGATGCCCGGTCAGGGCCGATAACATTGCAGATTCTTCTTTGGGTTATATCAAGAATATCTAAATTATTAGAATTATTATACATTAGAAGAATACAGCATGTAAAAGAATTAAGTGAAACCATGCAGGCACAGTAATACCTATACGGGTCGTGTAGCACTGAGATCTTTTTTGTGAAATTCAAACACCGCAATTGTACAACACTTCCGGAAATATTTTAATTTATTGAATGTTTACCCAATACAATGCCGAAGAACGATACAAGGTAGAGCGTTATTGAGTCAAGTGCATAATATGAACGTACGAGGTGGAATTAAGATGTGAATATTATGAGAATATGGCGGATAGATAACGATCGATCTTTAGACTTACAGAGGTTAATATTCTGTGATCGGAGAAGTATCCTATCGGGAGTCTATCCTACTCAGTAGCAGTTCCCAAGAAGAAACTGAGTAAAACTTCTTTCTTACAAATGGAATACAGAAGAAATGACGATGATTCGACAATATGTACATATGTGAAGGTCTGTGGAATTGTATTTTCTTCTTTCGTTGTGAACTGGATCGAATTTCTTATTGAGTTGACATAGCCCAGCATTATTTGTACAGCTTCCTGATGTGACCAGAGTGCGAATGTGTCATCCACGTATCTCAGCTATACTGTTAGCAGTAGCGGTGCCGTTCTTAAAACCATTTCCTCGAAGTATTTCATGTATATATTTGCCATCACTGGTGACAATGGTGAACCCATAGCCAAGCCTTCCTCTTGTTGTTATATTCTAAGCGATCTCACTAATTAGTTGTAATTGTTCTAGCGAGACAAGCTTGCTGACCATTACACCATGTGGAAATCCCCTCAAGCCTGTTGGTATATGGTTGGAAAATGTTCTCTGTACACAGAAAAATGTTCTCTGCACACAGAACGTCAACATTTCCATCAAATTATCTATTGGAGTGTTGGTCTAATTCCAGTAGGTTTAAAAATAATAATCAGCTAGCCTTCCTGATTTACGCACAGAGAATGTCTTCAAAACATCCGTATATCACTAGCCAGTCCTCACCGGACAATACCTCAAATTCAATTCCCTCCATCCATACAGTGTGAAGAAAGGGATCATTCGATGCCTACAACACTGGGCGAACATCATAAGTGGAGACCCTGATACTTACCAACAAGAAATGATCAGCACCAAACGTAACCATCAATGAAATTGGGCATAGCTTATCATGTATGGAGGGAAAAGGTTTTTTTTCATCAGCCTCTGTGGAATAAAGTGAAAAAACTAAACAAGGGAGAACACTGGAGAGTCAGACTTCTGCAAGAATCAGCGTATATGCTAGACGATGGGGACCTCCTAAGTAGTCCTTGCATGCAAATGAATACAATATGGAAGAAAGAAAGAGACGTGACAGTAAATCTTCAACCACAGCAGCAGGAGCTGTAGTGGGCACAACGGCCGAGCCGTTGTGATAAAAACACTAAAGATGGGGAAAATAGTCGAATATAAACAGTGTAAATAAGGAATGTAGCCTGTAGATTAGCTCGAGACTTTTAAAGACAGCGGAGGAGTCATTCGTATACTTTCCAGAGTGGATTCAGATAGCACTGAGCCCAACAGATGTCTGTGAAAAGCACAAGTAATCATACTTATTATAAAACCCAGGTTGTGTGTGTGTGTCTGTTCGTTTATATATTGGATCGGATTTTCTACATTTTTCAACCGATTTCAACAAAACTTCACAGGACTACATGAAATTACCTTGCGGTGGTTCCGACAGCACCAAAAATTAGAAAAACACAATTGTTTTTGCACAAAATCAATTTGAAAACACAATTAAAAGGCATTGCTGTCGCAAGAATGAAAGGGGGACTACTCATATCGAGTTATACTTATTATAAAACCCAGGTTGTGTGTGTGTGTGTGTGTGTGTGTGTGTGTGTGTGTTCAATTTTTCAACCGATTTCAACAAAACTTCGCTTTTTTTTTTGCAGGTAGTGTTTCTTACTGTCTTGCAAACTTTTTTCTTTATTTTTACATTGTGACGTCGTCCCCGGGTCGCAGCGCCAACTGTAACGTTCTATCCTGATCTACCACGGCGCCAGTTGTGACGTGGCCGTTCCAGGGTCCTATCCCGGTCACGACACCAGTTGTGACGTCCCTAAACAGCACCAATTGTGACGTCTTCGCCGCGGCGCCAGCTGTTCGCTCCTCGCTGCTCCGTCCGAGTGTCGCTGCTCCAAACGTGACGTCCGCCTGTCGCATCAGTCGTGTTGTCTCGTCCTGTGATGACCAACTGGCTTGGTATCGGTCGCGGCACCCAAATGTGACGTTCTAACCTTTTTTGGTGATTCGGGTGGGAATCTGGTTAGATTTGATATCAGCCTCGC